CATACATATTATATTTAATAATGAAGAGAAATCATTAAAAAAAAGTAGAAATTCATATATGCATGTCTGAAATGTGTTTATACAGGGTGTACCAACTTCTATAGTTTATCCATTTAATTCGGAAACGATTTACTTGGGCAAAAAATGGTCTTGTACAAACCACAAGTTAATTTTGGCTAGGAATCGATTGGTGTAACAGATTTAACATAACTTTCTCATCTAATTTGGAAATGATACTAACTTTGTTATTTTAAATGAGAATCCCATATTTTTATTGTACGTTTCGATTCTAGAGCTTATTTTATGCCACTTTTACTGAAAGGAAAATTTTGATAGGATCGACCACGTTTGAGTTATGCCCGACAGAAGATGCATGAGCGGGTATGCTTTTTGTAATGACAGGATGGCCCTTCTCGTTTATTTTGAAAATGATTAATATTAGGGAGCTAATTTAGGATAGGAATCTTCTCAGAATAGTGTAGGCACAAGGTGGTTGCTTTTACACTTGGCTTATATTAATTTAAAAAAAAAATAAATAAATAAAAAATAAATATTGTTTACACAAAGGATTTTATTTTTTAAAATCATCATCGAGTCCATGTTATTTTTTAAATGGTTCTCAGTGTTATTATGTATTGTTGCAGATTTGATGATTTATTAAAATTTATGTTTATAATAAATACTCAAATACGCTCTCTGCGTATGATGCACAGAGCTCTGTTCACTTCAGGAATTCTTCATTTGTAGTCTTTTCTACTATTTCTGGGCGGATTTCTCTGCAAGGCACAACAATCATTCCAGTTCTTGGACAATCAATACTGGAGATGGATTGGCATACACTCAATTCGTCAATGCCCCCAAAGAAAATAATCCAGGGCAATCAAATCTGGCGATCTCGGAGGACACAAAATGGGGCCTTGTGTGTCACTCCCTCTACGGTTCATGTGACTGTTGTGAATGGGGCAACTGTCTTGTTGGAACCACATCCTTCGTCTAGTGTATAGCTTAATTCTCTCCATAGAACAGGGAGGGTATTTTCTATAAAAGAATGATACCGCTCCCCGTTGAGTGTTCCTCTAAAAAAATGTGGTCAAATTAGCTGGTTTCTGAACAATTTGCACCATACATTAGTCGAATTGACTGTTTTATTATGCATTTGAATCTTCCAACGAGTATAACTCAAAAACGGTCAATCCTATCAAAATTTTCCTTTCAGTAAAAGTGGCATAAAATAAGCTGCAGAATCAAATTTCACAATAAAAACATGGATCCTCATTTAAAATAACAAAGTTAGTGTCGTTTCCCAGCTAGAAGAGAAAGAGAAAACGTTAAATCTGTTACCACCATGTGATTCCTAGCCAAAATTAACTTGGGGTATAAGACCATTTTTTGGTAAAGTTAATCGTTTCTCAATTAAATGGGTTGATACACCCTGCATATATGTTTATCAAATCAATACATTTTTAAAAATTTTAATTAATTATACTTTTCATCTCAACCAAAACCTTAGATGGAAAGTATATTTATTTAAAATAATTAGTAAGGTCAAATGTGAATACTAAATACATGTATTAATATGATTTTCTTCAAATTATGTTTCTAGGTCATAATTTTAATTGTAATATAAAAGCCACTTGGTCTTAAAAGACATAATGTTAAATTATAACGTGAAATGAATGTTTTGTAAATGTATATTTATTAAAAAAAAACCTTAATTCTTCAACAATCTTCATTTGGTCATTTGGTAAAACGTAAGCTAAAATATTTTATAAGAGAACTGAAATATTTGTAGAAGCAGAAAGGACGATTATTATTTCTTTTAAGGTTCATTATTAAAATATAAAAATAATAAAACAAAAAATATATTCAAATTCAAATATTCATTATATTGTTTATGCAGGTTGATTATTAGTATTGATTTTTTTTCCAACATTTTATTTTTAAATTAATCTTTGTTGATTTTGTTTACAAATATACATTTCAAAAAAAAGTTTTACAGTATTTTTCTTGTTTTCATTTTAAGTTTCAGGTTTTTTTTGTTTTTGCAAACACTTTCTTTAATTATGCAGCAGAATGTGAATTTTCCACCCGCATACTATTACAGCTTGTCATCATATCGTGCTTATATTCATGGAATGGGACTTTTTAAAGTACCTTGGTGTTTGCTACAACTAAATTTTGCTCGTTGCCTCCAGGTATAAAGGTAAATAAGAACAAGTGAATCTTTGTCATATTTTATTCTCACAGCCGAGTTTTGAACATAACAGTGTCATGTACATTAATGATTTTACCCTCTGATAAAAATGTACATTACATTATGGCAGTTTATATAACATGTAATAACAATTTATAGTTTTTTTGTTTTATATTTTTCTCAATTGTATTCTCTTTTGCAAAAAGAATGCTATACATTTATAAATATCTATGAGGGTCAACTCGTCTTTTAATATATACCATTTGCCATTTTTTTGATTATAACATTTTTTTAATATATATATTTTTTTTGTAAATAAACTTTTCTGATGTGATATACTATAAAATTAGCTTTAAGCTGGTCTCTAGGTGCTCACTACTTGTCTATCATCATTTCCAGGTCGGCGTGCAAATCACAATCTATTTATTAAAAAAAAGTCCAAATTGCACGCCGGACTGACACCTAATTTAAATATAAATTATTCACAGAAGAAATAAAGATTTTGTGCATTTTTCAACAATTTCTAATTTTTTTTTTTTGCTTTTTAAAATACTTTTTTGTCTTTAAATTAATCTTTTCTCTTAATATCTACTCTTTTCCTCTCATATTTTTTTTTGTATTATTTTTTTTAATCAATTTTTTTTGGCATATATTGGCACTACAAAATAACATACCCTGCACTTTTCCAACTGGGTAAACACTGCAGTAGTATGTGACTTAGGATTCTTAAAAAGGTGGTGAGTTTTGGCAGTTTCTTGTTGACTTTTGAAAAACGAAAGTATTAAAAAAAAAATCTAATTGCCTGTTCCCATTCCGCAGAAAAATAAGTCAATCACTACTGCGTACAAATGACATCCTCATATCTGGTTTATTCTAAAAAAATTCTCCCTTTAGGATTTGGTCTTTAATTAAAAAATTTAACATTTGATCCCCTACAATTTATTCACAAATTATTTTCAAGATGGAATAAAACAAATATGGGATCAAAGTATTTTCGACAATCTGTCCTATTATCCCAAAACTAACCCCTAAAATTATATATATATTATATATTTTTCTTTCTTTAAGGGATATACATATTTTTCCTCATAGATTAAAGATTTTATATATTAAAAAAATCATTGTTCTTTAATTGTTTAAATAATTATATGATTTGTCTATTTAATATAACCGTGGACTCTCACCTTTATCATAGGTGTTATTTTTAATTATTAATTTTTTTAAATTAAATTTTTCTATAGGCACGAGCCGTAATGACTAAAGTGTATAATTGCCACCCCTCTGTTATTTCAAAAGGGGTGCAAAACGAACTGGGCTTATATCTCAGACAATTAATTGAACGATTCCTTATGTAATAATATGTACAATAATTTTTTGTTTACATGGGCAGTAAAGTGCCGAAAAGACACACTTCAAGGCCTGAGTTGGGGCAACTTTAAAATAATTGACTTAAAATAATAATAATATATACAGGGTGGTGCAGATTTTTGTTGTTGCAAATATACATCTCCAAAATTCAACAGATGGGCCAGCAAGGCAGTATTTTTTCTCAGGTCACTGATCTTTGCCAGGATGATCAATATGAGCCATATACACGTATATATAAAATAAACATATTTTTCTTTTTCTCCCCTACAGTGTAGTTTCCTTTTTTATACAAAAATCACAAAGTTTTTAACAATTTTTGTTTTTTATATGGCACCCTGTTTTCAATATATTTCTTTTTCTCTTGTTTGCTATTATTATATTGGTGGTTTTGATTTGAAAGGCTGTTTAAATTAAGGCTTTTAAGGCCGCCCCTTTCCTCAGGCCTTTCAGTATTTCAATAGAAAAAAAATCCTTAAAAATTAGAGCTAAAATCACAAATCTCTTGTCCTGTTTGAGTTTGTTTCCTTTATAATTTCTTGGTCAGAATGGTGGGTAATAAAGGACGAGCGGTTTTGAAAATACCGTCCGTTGGTGTAACTTGGACAATTTTATCTTTTGAAGTACAGCGCTCTGGTTTTATTTCCACCATTCTTATTACTATCGATTCTCTTAGATATAAAATTACGTTTTTTCTTTATTTAAAAAAAAAATTCAGAACTAACTTTTCAAAACTGATTTATATACGGAACGAGGGCATTATCTAGTTTGTCCCAATTTTTTTTCTTTCTTTTAATGAGCACAATGCGTTTTTAATCACAGTTGCACATTGGACACCGACGTTCCACTTTTGAATATTGCTTTTTTTTAATATATATATAATTTTTTTTAAACTTCTTGTCCAGGTTTAAAAAAAAACAAAAAAAAACAACAGAAATTTGACAAATTTTCCATATCGTGGAGAAACGCCGGCCAAAGCGTTGTCAAAACGGCAGCCGTTTGCCGTTTTCGCCCAAGTGTCTGGGAAATTGTGCGAGCAATAGTTTTGAGCAGTGACAGGCGTTGGCTTTTCATGTTTTATGAGTTTGAGCATAGCGGCCTCCCCTGGGGCAGTGGTGGCGGTGCGGGTCAATAATTTGTAAACGGGAGAACATCGCCGGGCCGATATTGTTTGAGTTGTGGGTCCGTAATGTACACTGGAGTCGTCGGGGACATTGAAAATCAAGAGACAGAAAATTAGACCGGACTATTTTCGAAACGTTCGAAAACTTTTAGATTATGAACGTATCAAAATATTTGAATGTTTTATGTCAATAGAAATCATTTTAATAATTGGTGTCTGAGAATTTTTTAAAGTGTTTTGATCTTGACGTTCTTTGTTTTTAATGGTTAAGATAGTTTATATTTAACATTTTTCATAAAATAAAGGTTTGATTTTTTGGTTTAAGTTTAATTGGCGCTATGATAATTATTTTAGTTTTATGTTTTTTCTTTTATGTTGTCAGTTTTCAATATTTGGCTCACACAACTTCACAGCTTGATGGCAAGTCCCTATTGATAGTTTGGTCCTTCAGATCAGGGACTTGACGGTTGGTATTATTTGTGCGGTTGAAAGGCTAAAAGGCTAAAAGCCAAAGGTTTTCCAAGGGACGTCATTGTTACGGTATGACGCCATCCTTTGGGATTGTTTGTCGACCTTTTGTCAGGCGTTTCTCGGTATCGCGATGCCGGCTATCGAGGTCACACGGTCGTCTCCCGGTCGGTTTCAATGACCTCGATTGACGGCCTTCGTCAGGAGGAGAGGGTCGACGAGTTGCTGGCTAGCAGAGCGTCCTTGTCCCTCTTGGGCCTCGAGGAACGACAGCAGGATGCGAGGATCGCCGTTATGCAGAGGCACATCAGCGCTGCTATAGCCGAAGTCGACACGGCTATGAGTCTGGCCGGTGTCAGCGCTGACAGTAGCTTGGTCGTAACGCCGCAGTCTGGGTTCTCCTCGTCGAACCCGGACGGGCAGTTGACCTGGCCGTCGCAGTACAAACCGGGGGCGATGCAGGCGTTCAGCTCAGGACACCTTAAAACACAAGATGAAATTAAATTGATTTTCAAATCAAAGTTAATATTCTAAAGCTGTTTATTCTCAGATAAGTATAACTAGAAATTTATCTTTTTCTAGGTCATCTGTGTAACGTGTGTTACCTGTGTTTGCACTCCCAAGGGGTGGAGTTGTCCACCTGCTTCGCCGAGAAGCTTTTGCTCTTCGATATTTCGAGCCAGTTGAGAAAAGCCCCTCCAGCTTCCCGTCCGACGAACTCGACAAGGAACGACGGAGGTGCCAGGCTCCAGACGGCCCCGCCGAACCACTCTTCGGAAAACACCTGGACAGCGAATTCCTTGTCCTTCTCTTTCGAGGGGCAGACGACTCTCATCAGCCTGCAAAAAAAACCTTCCTTGGTATCGAAAACGAAAACTAAACGTTATTTCAATTGGTTTGTTTTTATGTCGAAACAATGTCAGCTTTTTTTTCCATGACCGTCACTTCTCGGTGGTTTCGACGATCTTTGATTATTTTTTTTATGGAACCTTTATTTACACAAGAACGCTTGATTGAAGAACAGGGAGAATAAATGGATCGGAAGTGATTTGCTTTATCGGTCCATCAACCCTCTACGCCACGTTTTATAACTTTCTCGGATCTTTTAATGAAAATCACATCGAAATATACAATTTTTCCTTCAAGCCGCCCTAATAAAATAAATCAGTGACATCTGTTCTTTAAAAAATTTAATCGAACTTTAAAGAAGGTCTCACTTAAGAGGCGTCCCCGTGTAAAGGAGTACTCTGTTCGTCGTGGGGCAGCTGTCCGAGGGTGCGTCTAAAGGGAGGAAATGGCCCCAGGTGAGGAGGAAAAGACTTTTGTTGTGCGTCGCTTCGACGAGCCAAGGCATGCCTTCACAGTACATGTCTTCCTTTTCCCTAGGTGGGAAGACGAGGCCGATCTCGCCCCCGGAGCCCTTGACGCGTTGGTGCCTGCTGCATTCCGCCCACCTCACCATCTGGTACGTGGCGTGGAAGTAGATATCGGTGAAGTCCTCAGTGATGTTGAACTCCGTGACGGCGAAGCTCAGCTCGAGGATGCGACCGGAGCTGAGGAAAACGGCCGGGCCGGCGGTCGTCCTGCAATCCGATAATATTAATTTAAAACAAAAATCACACTTTTTTTCAATTAATTAATCTTTATGTAAGGTATTGGTTGAGATAAAAAAAGTCCTCAGTGACACAAGCGGGATTCGAACCCACGACCCTCGGCTATATACGCCGCTGCTCTACCACTTGAGCTATCGTGATATATCTCAAGCAATACCTTTCATAAAGATTAATTAATTCAAAAGAAGTTATTTGGTCAATCGGAACACGAACTCTAATGAATTTAATAAGTAAAATTAAGTATATCTTCACTAAAGCTCTCCGTGGCCATTTCATTTGTCGCCGAGAATGAAATAGATTACACGACATTTGAAAAATGGCAAAAAGAGGGAAAATTCGAAAGGTTGTAGGTTGAGATGAAGAGGCGGTGTTCGAGAGGATCGAAGTCACGATAGCTCAAGTGGTAGAGCAGCGGCGTATTTAGCCGAGGGTCGTGAGTTCGAACCTCGCTCGTGACACTGACTTTTTTTTATTACTCACATCATCGGCATCTTACATTTTTATAAAAAGTATAAAATATAAGATTGGATGATGGCCGTATATTCCCGAAACGTACAAACAATAATTAATTTAAATAAGTAAAGAATTTATTTTAAAAAACCTACATAAAATTGTTTTTTTAACAAAAACCAAAACTTTTTTATCTTATTTTATAGATAACAGTGTACGAGACAACCACTCGGTGACGACCTATTTCGTTGTGGGTATGGTAGCTTCCCAGCGCCTTAAAAACGTTCACCTCTTTCAACTGACATTTAAGATACTAATTTTATATTAAATTTATATATTGAATTTAACGTGGTAAATTAAAAACAAAATATAAACGTGCTTTGTTAGGAATTTTAATGGATCTGCGCGTTATCCATTTATGAGATTTTGGTGGTGTTTATAGATCACGGCGAACCAGAATTACCATTTCTAAAGACCGCAGTGCGTTGCGGGCACGGTAGGCCGTTAACGCGCCGTGAATCGGCTCAAATTTATTTATAATTTATACTGGAACACTGGAGCAGGTGGTCTCTCTCTCTCTCTCTCACTCTCTCTCTCTCTCTCACTCTCTCTCTCTCACTCTCTCTCTCTCTCTCTCTCTCTGATTCATTTATGGTTATTTTATTTTAAACATATTTCAAAGCTTTGTAGAAGTAGTGAGGAACGGTCAGGATAGAAGTATTTAGATGAACACCTTTTTCATTTTTTTTGTCGACTTTTCGACCTTTATTCGTGTCCTAATTGATCGTTTCAGAGTGCGGTGCGGCAATGAGTTATCGGAAGTCGTACTACCGGCAGGGGAGTATCCTTGGTCCTATCCTTTTTATCATTTACATGGCTGACCTACCTGGCACTATTACCATCTACGCGGACGACACCGCAATCGTATAACTCGAATAACTCTCCTCTATAACTATAACAATATATAACTCGAATCCTGTCCAAGCGACCTCCAATATCTAGGAACACCTTGAGCTTACCGAAGACGTCAAAAATGGAGGACAAGACTGAACGAGGAAAAATGCACTTAGTGTACTTTCACTTTGAAAAAGCAGTCTTGCTCAACATCAACAACAAAGAGATACCATTTTCCACTCGGTCAAACACCTGGGTCTATATCTCGACAGCAGACGAGGTTGCCCCACACAAGACTTAAAAAACAACTTAATACAACACTTAGACTACTTCGAAGACTTCTAAAACTGAAATCGACTTTAGACTAAATACTGTACTAAAACCAATATGGAAAGTGGAACTTTGGAACTGCCAAGCCAACCAATATCCAGCGCATCCAGTCTTTCCAATCGAAAATTCTTAGACAAATTGTCAAAGTACCTAACCTCACTATCCATAAAAACCTCAACATTCCCTTTGTCAACGAACTGATCCGGTCCAGTTTCCAAACCTTCCACACCAACCTTGTGAACCGCCCTAACCATACTTCGAGCCTTCTCCACTCATTCCCATCCCGACGACCCGCCATGTCGCCTCGACCGACGGTGTTCTCGGGACTTCCTTGTCACTTAATCATACACAGTGAGTGACAGCAATGCTAGTGTGATATATTAATCATGTGTACATATTTGTATAGTATATGTTCATGTATAGGTAAAAAAAAAANATATAATAAAAAATAGAAATTAAAATTAAATCCTTTGCCAGTAATATAAGATTGGAAAAACAACTAAAATGAAAATGACCTTTTGAAAAATGAGATTGAGCTAGATCCTCTATCAATTCTAATTTAACGATAAAAAAATAATAAAATAATTTTACTCCAGTACAACACACGTATAAAACCAACAACGAAAAAAAAAACTTTTTTTGGGGAGGCAAATATTGATGGCTTTTCTTAATTCTTCGTTTTAGTTCTTCTTATTCTTCGTTTTTCTTTCTTTCTTTTTTTGATCTTCCGCTTGTCCAAATTGTTTCTTTCGAAAGCATGATCCTATCTGGCCCGTCTCCTCTTTTTCTTCACCCTTCCATCCTTTTGTTACACGTCTCCTACCGACTGGCGGGTATTTTCAAAATTATAAATAATTCACTAATTTTCGTGGTCCGCTTGACCAATTAATATCTTTTATTTAATTAAGGTTGAGATAAAAAAATCAGTGTCACGAGCGGGATTCGAACCCACGATCTTCGGCTAAATACGCCGCTGCTCTTACCACTTGAGCTATCGTGACTTCGAAAACTGAAAAATGGCAAAAAGGAGGGAAAATTCGAGAGGTGAGGTTAGTGCCCGAGCGGTTCGAAGTACGATAGCTCAAATGGTAAGAGCAGCATTTAGCCGAAGGTCGTGGGTTCGAATCCCGCTCGTGACACTGACTTTTTATCTCAACCAATACCTTTCATAAAGAGTAACTATTTATTGTTAAATAATGCATCTACTTTTCTTGCATAGGTAACTGAAATGAGTAGTTTTAAATATTTTTCATGATGCAGGTCAAAAAATTGTGCTTGGATGATCAATTTAAGTTAATGATAAAACTTGCAATGTTTGTAAGCTCTTTGCAAATGTTTTTGTAAATTTTATCAGTGAGGTTTTTTTCCATTTTTTCTCTCATTAAACTGGCGAAGGTTATATTTATACTGCTCAATACTGTTATAAAATTTGTTAGGTGGTATAGGTCATGGTTTTGACTTGAAATTTCCTTTTAATTCTATGCCTAATAACACTTTTTGTTAAAAATTTTATTTTATGTTACATAATAAAGGCTCTTATTATTATTATTATTATTATTATGTTTGTTTCGTGTGAAATTGTGAATACAGTGTAACAGATGAATAAAAATTTCACACGAAACAAACATATCACTAAAAGAATAGCATCACACTTTACGTGAGTTTGAAATACTTTGTTCAAAATTTATATCTGTCTTGTATAACTATTTTTCTAATCAATATATGTCTGTAATTCTCAATAGGACTGAAGATGACCCGAGTAAAGGTCGAAACGTCATAGACAAAATTGAAAAGGCGTTTATCTGAAACGATTCATTCCTGACTGCTCCTCACTATTTCAAAAAATTATTGATCAACGCTAAATAACGCATATTTCAAAGGGTTGTATTGTCCGATTGACTCACCTTGCGAGAACGGAATTGTCGCAGTAGCAAGCTCGTTGCAGTTTGATGTCCTTCCACGGCAGGTCGGAGACGGTCAGCTCGACGGACCGCCCTTTCCTGACGCATATCGGCCGGCTCGTGTGACCATCTGCGACCGTCCTGCAGTCCTGATGGCCGAACGATGCGTTGTGGATCGACAGTCTCACCCTTTCGCCGACGCTCGATTCAATCCTGTACACGCACGTCAGGTTCTTTGCACCTCCTCGGCCGTACATGAATACGTTCTTAGGCGAATGGACCATCCCCGACTTCTTTTTTCGAAAAAGTCTAAAAAAACCAACAATTTGAATAGAACAAAACAGCTAAATCTTATATACAGTGGACGCCGCTTATAAGACTCATTTTGGCCCCAGCAAAAAGTGAGTCTTATAAGCGGATGAGACTTATTAGTAGGGCTGTGAAATACATGCATTTGCATATTTTTCCTAGTTAACTAAAACATTCAATTTTAACCAACTGTATATGTTTTGAAGCATTTGGAATCAATTTAAGCTATATTTATTTTGCATATTTGCGCATATATTTTGTCATAAATGTATACTTTCGCATAAGTGGGTTGTAATTGCATGTTTTTTTTACATAACCGGCATATCGGTATTTGGCCCGTCAAATTTTAATGTTTATGAGTAGGCAAAAAAAATTCTCCGAAAAAGAGCTGTGGGGGGGCTCCCTCTTCCGTTTCCACATAATGAACGAGTTCGGTCATTCGCTGTTCCACCGCTTTCCACGAACTTTCGGTCGCATTTGCTTCTCTTTGAATAAACGGAGAAGGGGTAATGTTTGTCCCACTGTAAATGTTCTGTTGGAATAGTTTGATTGGATTCATGGAAATATTATGACCCCAGTTCTCTTCTTTCACTACCGTCATACTTTTCAGCTTTACCCAGTCTCTCATGCGTTTTTCATCGTGAAAAATTATTTATGCTTTGTGAACTGACTACTCATAAAATGCCGAAAGTCACCGCAAAGACGAAAGTTCTTGTTCAAAAGTATGTGCGTGAGTTTTCAAGTGAGACTTTTCAAGGCGATGCAGACGTTTTATACTGTGTTTGTTGTGATAAACCTGTATCAACAGCTTCACATTTTTTGATAACACAGCACACAAAGACAGCAAAACACAAGGAAAACAAAGGTAAGAAGTCAAGTTTCAACAAACCTTTGTGACAAAAGCTGCCACAGGTATTGGGTCTGGAAAGTCCGGTTTCGATTCCGATTTATGCCGTGCTTTAGTCAGAGCTGACATACCCTTCCATAAACTAAGCCACCCTGAATTCAAGTTATTTTTTTGAGAAATACACAGGGAAAACCATTCCCCACGAAAGTACCCTCAGGAAATCTCACCTGGATCTTACAAACAATGAAACACTCAAAGAAATCAGAGACTTCATCGAAAATGGACCGATCTGAGTCTCGATGGATGAGACTACTGATTTTTTAATTTTAACTTTTTTTTTAATGCGTTTTTTTTAAATATTAGCCATATAATGTTCCTCTTGCCACTGTTTCTCTGTTCAATACAATTATATGCTTTAATTTGAGGTTTCCTTATTTTTTCTCATGGTAGTTTAAGCATATTTTCGATGCTATGCCACGAACCTACCCGACGCTTTGCGATCCCCACTGTCCAGATTTTCGTGGGGTCGCATCGAGTACAGTCGAAGACAAAAGAACCGGACACTCATATTTTTATTCGAACTACATGTATTATTGTTGTTATATTATTTACAACATACTTATTTTAATATAAACCAAATTAACTGTGATTAAAATTAATTAGTTTTTATTTAAAAAATTAATTTTAATGGTTTGGTAGAAAATTAATCAAAAACCGGAATAGGATTTTTTTAAATTATGAATTTAACTAACAATTTATTGGCGTAATATACTAAAATTGGAACAATTTATTACACGGTTTTGCTCATAAAATTTAATTAACAATTTATTTCATAGTTTTTTCGTAAAATTACACCATTTTGTAATGTCGTGTATCATCAGAACAGGACACTCATATTTTTTGTAGTTTATTTCAAACTAAGTACATGTAATTTTGTCGTTATATTAATTCCAACATGTTATTTTAATGTGAACCAAATTAAACGAGATAAAAAATAAAGTTTTTATAAACATTGTTTAATTATGATGGTTAGGAGTAAATTTATTTAAAACAATTAAGTTTAACAAACAATTTATTAGATGGTTGTTGTGCTCATAAAATTTAACTAACAATTTATTGCAAGGTTTTGCTCAAGATAGTGCATTAAAAACAAAAGTGATTATTGTGATAAACGCTGTGGACTGTACGCGACGTGTGCTTGCGTCGGATAGATGTGCACACCCCACCAAAACGTGGCAAGGCGTCGGGTAGCGTCGCATGGCGTAGCATCGGGTAAGTGTGTTCCTGGCTTAAAGCTTGAACCCTTTCAAATAGCGAGGTTGCTTTCTCTTTCCAATAACGAGCAGTTTCTTTTTCTTTCTCATCAACCTTTCTTTGCAGGTTTTCGTTCCCTTTGTTCTTAAATTTTTAAGAATGTAGGTGTGTTCAGGTTCTCTGTGGTACAATCAGTTTTATCGTCTTATAATCGAGTTGTTTTCAATGTATCCGGATTTCGGACTGTTTCTGGCGATTCTGTGTTTTATAGGCGACTGAACCTTATATCCGTGAATCTTATAAGCGGCGTCCACTGTATAAAATCATTAACATTCATAACACAAATTTTGTTTTTAGGGCTTTGAGCAAACACTAGTCAACTTTGACCCGATCTAATCCCTTTGTTAATTCGTTTAGAGTTTCTCCTCTGGGCCGTTTTCGGTTTAATTTCCATTAGGATCCGTTACAAAAACTTATTTGGGGAAATTCATCATCTCTCAACTCTTCGAGGATAATCGAAAATGGCCTTCTATTCCTAGAAAGCGTGACCGCTTTGAGCTTAACTCCCCCACGAGGAAAAAGAAAACCCCGCTGTTTGCCATGTTTGAACAAAAGCGGGCTGAAACAAAAAGGCCAGTTGCGGATCCCGTATCGTGGGGAAAAAACAATTTTATAACTGGAAAATTTCCCCCGACCATTTGCAATTGAAATTAAGCCAGGTGTGACGGTGAACTTTATGGCCAATTTTATCGTCCCGGCCTAATTTGAATTACTATCAGGATTCATTAAGGCAAAGGGAGCCAAAACAAGCCTGTTGGTACATTATAAAAGCCTATTAAACACAGTCCATCGAATGCCAGCAAAAACAGTAGAAACTTATAAATATCAAAGAAATTAATAACGATTATAAAAAAGTTACATAATCGCGTGTCCGCTCAAATCGTTATACGGTTGGTTTTTGGCGTTTTCATTCGGCAAAGCTCATAGTATTGTTGGACGTTCGAATAGCTTTACAGTACGGCATTAGAAAGGATAAAAAGTTGATAAAATTTATCCGGTGAACAGCTGCATGTATTCCAATGTCCAATGTTCCACCAACTTTTCACAATAACCATCGAATGTATGTCAATAACGGCACCCAAAGCCAATGTAGGTGTAGCTAAAAGGAACCTCATGATTTAATATTTTCTGAATTATATAGGCGTTGCATGATCTTTAGTGGATTATAATCTCTTTAACATGGATTTGAACTTTTACTTGACCATTTTTTGCGAGTTGGTTTATGTTAGATTGAATTGGGTTAGGAATGGTTAGAAATAGTCGAAAAGGATGGTTCTAATCTCAAGCTGGATTTACACTGTTACCGATTTCGAGATGCTCATCATCAGACAGTGCAAGAAATAGTTGTAGATTTTTCGAGAGATTTTAGATTTATGTATCCAAATTTCTGGCACAGTCTGATAAATTTGGATCACTGCAAAACCAAATTGTGAGTAGTACCACCCTTTTCAACTAATCGATAGATAGGTAGGGTTAGGGTTAAAGACGAGTGAGTTAATAGTAGGTATGGTTAGGGTTAGGAAGGGTTGTTTAAGGTTAAGTACGTGTTAGGTTAGGTTGGGTTAGGGTTTGGGACGTGTTTGGTTATGGTTAGGGTTAGAGATAGAATAAGTTAATTAGGGTTACGGTTAGAAGGTTAGGTAAGGTTAAATAGATTAAGGGACAGATTTGGTTAGGTTAGACAGGATTAGCGTTAAAATAGGATTACGGACTGTGAACTTTAAAGGTGGCCATTTACGATCGCTCCAAATGGAACAGCGCCGAGCCGTATAGTTCCATTTGTAGTGCCTGAAATTTGAGGAAGCATTCACGACCGCTCCACAGCCAGTCGCTCCGATCGTCATTAGTGAGGTACTTCCTCAAAATGGATGACGATCCCTTGCGTTACGCTGCTATTTGTTTATATATAAAAAGCAATAAACCGAAAAAGAAATGGTGTAAGAACTGGCTCCTGAACAGAACCCTATTTTATTTAAGGATGAATGAAACGTCTTATATATATTTAGTCCAGCTTGTTACCGCCTTGATTAGAAATCAAAAGACAGTCATGAGAGAAATCATCACTTCACATGAAAGGTTGGCATTTACGATTTCGCGCTACAGGGACGAAGTACGAAGAACTTAAGTTCTCTACTACGATTTCTGCTCAGCGCTTAGGGGTTATCAATACCGGTTACTGCATCACTCGTTGCATTTGTATCCTTTGTTTTGAAAAGGTCAACCAACTGGTCAAGGGTCGAATTTCTTTTATTTCTATCGTGGTAATCATTTCCCACCACCTTCTATAAACATGGTAAACTTTTATAAAATTCAATCACTTCAAAAATAAAATCTCGATTGGATGTCATTTCCAATAAAGAATAAACGTTTTTGACTTTTTGAGATGTGGAAAATCGTGGATGTTCCTATTCACGACCAAGCCGGCGCGCTAATATTCCACCGTTCACGCCAGGTTTTCCCATTCACGAACGCGCCATGCGGTCGTCCCGCCGCAGATGTTTGGAGCGGTCGAATGTTCGGTGCAGCCCGGCACACCAGTTCAGTTTTGCCATTGATGTGGTTTTTGAAACGGCGTCGCTCCGTTTGGGCTGCTGGGAGCGATCGTGAAAGGCTTTAAAAAAAACTTTAATTCAAAGATAAATAAACATAATTTAAGTGTGCAATAGAGGACCTGTTCTTCTCTCAGACAATATGATAATATGTGCACAGGCTTGTTTCTACTACTCCTAGTCTACGTGCCTCTGGAGAATGCAATATGTAGAATCCAGTATGTATTCGTAAAGCTCTCTGTCCTGGAATGCTCATTAAACCAAGGATTTATTTTTAACAAATTATCTGATGGATCTAAGTTTTTGACAATTTGTTGATCAATTTCTCCTAGTTGGCCTGGATGAAGCCAAAGACCGACGGTAAACGTAGGTAAATATGCTACAGTTTTCCAGTCTGAAATCAAAGCGATTGAACACTGCGCCAGAGTAAGAAAAAAGCTTCCCGGAAGATAGCTATTTTCTCTGATATTCAGACAACACTAAGGGCCCTAGCCTCATGCGAGGCGAAGGCAAAGAGTGGTTGGAACTAAATGGGAGGCCCTGACAGAAGTCAGCTACACTAATGACCTGACCCTGGCATGGGTCCATCCATTTCCATAGCCAAAAGACGGGGCCAACATGGACTTCTCTGGGCCCTGAACTCTACTGTGGCTTAGCAGCCGGCCACAAAAGAGGATACATTCTATAATAGATCCTTAATGAGTCCGAAACCTGGTGGAATAAAACCATAGGTATGGGGTACGCGAAGAGATTCCCTTGAAGGACCATCCGCAAAACTTACAAAAGGCAACGCAACCGAACCAAGGTTCTGGTTGGACTCCTGACAGGGCACTGCCACATAAGAAGGCACATGCACCGGATAGGAGTACATACATAAGAACAACTGTGCAGATACTGTCAGGAAGGGGAGGAGACCGCGGAGCACATTCTATGTTGTCTGTGAAGGTCTATGTAGGTGCATGTTCTTGTAACTGTTTGATCTCTAGTTGGTCCTGCTCTGTGCCCTACAGGGCCAAAATAATAGGAATTTTGTTGTTTTCCGCAATGTCTCACAGGGCAATACAATCTCAAGTGGCTCAGGAGTATACTACCATTGAGGCAGTTAATTTTAGTCCTGCTTTGCTGTCCGTGGATACAATTTAAAATAATTGTCAAAAAAATGAAAAATGTTACCTGTGACAGGGCCCGGCTTTTGTATTTTCCCCGCCTAGCCTCGTATCGACGAACTCGAACTGGAATTTGAAAGAGGAGGGCTGGATCGCGGTTCCGTGCTGGCTCCTGTGCTCGATCGAAAGCCTGCTGGACGGGGTGATGTAGCTCTCCTGCTTCCTGCACGGCCTCGTGTCCCTCGACGAGTTCCTCAGAGATCCGTGGTCGCAAAGCCTTGGCGATTCGCAAGTGTCTTCAAGCAGGGCGTTCTGGTCGAAAACCCTGAGCCTCGTCGTGCAATTCGCGTTCCCTTCGACGCTGTACGAGTCGAAGTAGAGCCAGATCCGGTCCGTCGGAAGGCCCACGAGTCTGTACCAGCAGGTCGTGTTCGGCGGGAGAGTGTGCCTCGGGCTGAGCACTTCGCCTTTTCGTTTGACAGTCCCGTTAACGTAGAATTCACACCTGGAAGTTAAAGTTTGAATAAACATAACTGCCGAGAAGGGCTTGAGAAATTAGGACCGGTTGTTTCCGACCTACTTTGACATGCTAATCTAAAGAGGTTCTGGTTATGACGGTTCATTTGAATATCTAACGAACACACCTAGAAATGCCAGTCTCATTACAATTATATCGACTAGAATATTGAGTCTTGTGTAATTCCGTTCAAACAAAACACCATAACCTTCTATTCATCATTTTGTCAAAAGAAAGCAAACATAAATGACCTGGTCATACATAGTTTTAACCTTTCCTTCAAAAGCATTGCCTCTAGAAGATCATAAAATCCACTTTTCTCCTAATTCATTTTTTTTTGGTAGAAAAAATATATAAATAAAAATTTAACCCGGCCCGCTGGGCAACGATTCGAGCGTACTTAAATTGAGACAAAAGGCTATTCATAAAAGAAGGGTCGGACTTCTTTAAGTCATTACTCACGCGGGGTACTCCTCGCTTTCTCGGGCAGCAACTTCCCCGGAGCATTACTTATAAGTTTAAACTGAAGTTCGGTAAGCCTTGAAAGGAGGGTTATTTTTACTCGGAATATGCCTTTTTTTTAAGGGGCTTTATTGTAATTAGCGTTCGGGCGTAATTAATACACAAACCGTAAAAATAATTATAATTGGGTTAAACTGCGACCTACGGCTGGTGGTAATTTTGTAATGAAATTATAAAATTTAACCCTTTATATGAGTAAATTAATGCATTATTAAAATGCCATCTGTTCAGAATTTTTATTTTTTGTTTGTTTTATTTATTGTGTGCCTTGTCAACACCTTAGCTTTTGTGGCAACCGACACCCCGTCTTAGCTTCTTTTATATACCGAAAACCACCAAGATGACACACAGAAACTTCTAGGCTGATTTTAATTCTAGAAGTTAAACCTCCAAATTTGAAAAATGTGGGGTAGTTAAATTAAAATAAAATGTTTAGGTAAGTTTCTCTCTATGAATCAACTCGTCAAAAGACGTTGCATAATTTTTTAAAGATTTTAGACACGAGAAATGACTATTTTTCCTAACCCTTATTATTTTAAACGAGTATCCACAACAGCAGAGGCAGTCATATCAACCCTCAGGGTGTCAGTGTTCAAAAAAAAAAAAACATTTGTAAGTATGCCGGGGTCGAATGCAGGGCCGCTGGATTCGAACCCGCGACCTGTACCTTACAGTGAATTTGTTTTATTGTAGTTCAGACCGGTCAAATGATCCAAAACAACAGTCAAGAGTAACATATAAAAATTCAGAATTTAAAAACAACATTAAATCAAAAAAGATTATAACTATAAAATAATTGCAACAGAATATCGACCATGCAAAACTTGTGGCCAAGGAAAAAATCAAACAAAAAAAATCAAAAATATAAGTAAATAAAGAAAAATAAAAATAAACAAGGCTCAGTGAATCATTCTTTTAATACTTGTAAAATCTTCTTTTTGAAACGGACAAGGAGTCAAAGATGGTTAGGGATGGTTAGTTTAGGGATGGTTAGGGAAATGGTTAGGGATTGCGAAATGGAGGGAAATGAAGAAGCTGATAGACTGGCCAAATTAGCATCTACTGACGAGAGTTTGAATTTGGCATATAACTTCCAAAGTCATCAATTATAAATAAACTTTTCGAAGAGAGCCTGGAAAAATGGGAAAATGCTTGGTCAAGTACATATAATGGAAGGCAGACAGGAAAGTTCTTTCCCAAAGTTGCCGATAGATTCCAGCCGCACATCCAACTATCCGCACCACTAACCCATCTTAACCGAACACGGCCCAAACAACAGCTATTTTTTCCGCTTTCATCTAAGAGAATCTTCATCATGCTCATGCCTGCCTAATTTTCTAGTAGAACAAAGCATTAAACACCTAATATATGAGTGCCCACTAATAGAACCACTGCGCAGTGTTGGGATACGAAAGTGCCCACTGCAAGATAAGAAGTGGCCACCTGATGAGAAGGGGCTCATGAAGAGAGAATATTATGAACATTTTGACACATTCATTAAAGCAATAGATTTTAATGTAATTTAGTTAAATGTTAAGTTATTTGTTTATTTAGTTTTTAATTAGATCTACTTATTAACGTTATTTTTATTATTTGACAGTTTTAGTAATTATTTTTTCACCATAATATGAATCTGATATCCCAATATATATATATACATTTTATATTTATGGTTATTGTATTACATGTAATATTTTGTATGAAGCATGTAGAATAAATATAATAATAATAATAAAAAAAAGGAGTCAGAGAAAAGGTCTGCGGCATCTCCATATCGATTAATGTGCCGAACGGTCCGAGAAAGACTAGATTCCGACCCATAATTCGTCCTATGTTGGGAACATAGAATAGGGAGTCGACGCTGGTAGACCCTGAAGCCAACGCAGGGCAAGATCTCCGGGAAATCAACCCTATTGTTAAGAATAGGGAGGGAATTCCATAAGAACAAGGTCGAAGGAAAAATTCTTGTCTTATTACTCATTTTATAAACAAACAACTTTTATCGTCTTTTCTCCATTTCAATCCAGTTGTATTCTCTTTAACCTTTAAACCTTTAACAAACTGCTCATTAGTTTCCTGAAGAATTAAGGATTTTTGCAATTTTTATTTACACGAATGTCTTAATTTGAACTATTTACTTTTTAACAAGTTTGTATTAAAAAATAATTATAATACTTAAAAAAACCACGAATAAAATAAGAAATAAAAATGTAAATACGTTTGTAAATCACGGCGCCTGAATCGACCATTCCGCAAGACCTCGGTGTGTTGCGGGTATGGTTGCTCCGAGCGCCGTGAATTCAATCATATTTATTTAATTAGAATACAAACTGCTCAAAAATAGGGATTTATTCTTATTAGAAATTTATTCTTAGTCTATTAATTGTCTATTAACGAGAATATAAACGTACTATTGTTAGGGATTGATAAAGTTAGAAATAGATATTTAATGAGATTTCGTAAGTTTGAAAATCAAGGCGCTTAAGATCTACCAATTCTTGGATAGGGAAAGAACTAATGGCATTTTTCAATTTCAATTCACACAAATGTCTTTAATTGACCTATTTCCTTTTTTTTAAACGTTACTTTAAAAAATTAATAATCACAAATTTTAAACAAAGAACAAAATAAGAAATGAAAGATCGTTTGTAAAACACGGCGCCCGAATCAACCATTCCGCAAGACCTCGGTGTGTTGCGGGTATGGTTGCTCCTAGCGCCGTGAATGCAATCGTATTTATTTAATTAGTCTATAAACTAACTGCTCAAAAGTGAATTGGGATATTTGTTATTTATTCTTATTCTATTAATTTTAATTAAATTACCCGATATATTCTTCTTAGTTAGATAAATAGAATATAAAATAAAAATCTAAAACAAACGAATGTTATTCTCATTTTTAATGACGGGTTTACTTAAGTATTAAACATGAAGATTATTCATTTTGTAAACAAACACTTTTTCTCGTCTTTTCTTCATTTTAATTCAGTTGTACTCTCTTTAACCATGGAAAAGATATCTACTTGAACTGAAAGTTCGCAATATTATTGTGAGAAAGAGTCTTCGAGGTAACCGGCAAGTGGATATCGCAGAGTTAGTTGGCGTGTCTCAGTGCGTGGTTTTAGCCCGATTCCGAGAGACTGGAAGTGCCAATAGGAGGTTTGGTAGTGGAACTATCTGGTAGTTACGACGCTAAGAGAGGACAGAAATATTGTCATTGCTATCAAGACGGAACCCTTTCCATGTTGCCTGCAAGATTTGCAATGAAGCACAAGATGCTTTAGCAAAGCCTTTAACGATTACGACCCGTTTGCGGGAAGTTGGCCTCACATCGTATCCCCCTTTGAGACGACCTGGCGCAACAGCCTGCCACCAGCAATTCATTCAGTGATAGCAGGCACTGAAGAATCTACCATACAATGCACCAGTTCGTGCTCCCTTCAGTGCAGGTCTGGGCTGAGATTTACACCGGAGGACGAATATGACTCCAATATTCTTAAAGGGAACCTCACCGCAGTCCGTTATGTCCAAGTAATCGAGGAATACATCCCTCAAACCAGGGATCTCATTGGCAGGGATTTTCTATTTCTAGATGACAATTCTAGACCTCATAGAGACAGAGTTGTTCATCAGTGTTTAAAAAACCTGAGAGTTTCCCATCTCTTCCCCCATTGTCAGCAGACCTCAATCCCATTGAGAGCATGTATGTATTGCAGAGAAGGCTTTTCGATCGCCATCCGAAGCAAGTTGGCCTGCAACAACTGAGTGCAGCGTTGCAACATCAATGGAGTAAAATTCTTTATGAAATTAGTGACAACCTTATCAGTATGCTTAACAGGTGCATAGAGGTTTTAGCTAACCCAGGACATTATACGATATTAATTTAAAGAAAATTATTGCGACCAGTAAACAAAATTATGGAATTAAAACCTTTTGTTTTGTTATTTTTCAAAATCCCTTAATTAAATTTTCCTTAGCGATGAACATAATATTTTTAATAAATTTTAATGCAATTTACAATAAAAATGCTAGGGAAAGTAAGCACTACAAAATCGACAATATTCCAATTAATTTTGAACAAAAAATATTTAGATACCCTCCTTTGTACCCTCTCAATCATGAGCTATCCGTTGTTTGATCCGGGTGACCAAACAATTTTTGCACAATCCAAATGGCAACGAACAAGTGCAAGTAATAATAATAAAATACAATCCATTTATGTTTGGTGGTCTAATTGACCATGTTAATTTAACATTTAACCTTCGGCTGATAGGCAAAAAATGGCAAAAAGATGGAAAATTCGAAAGGTTGGTTGAGATGGGGAGTTGGTGTCCGAGTGGATCGAAGTCACGACAGCTCAAGCGGGTAGAGCCGAGCCGAAGGTCGTAGGTTCGAATCCCGCTCGTGACAAAACTTTTTCAACTCAACCGTTTAATTATAATACATAATAATAATAATATATTTCCTAAATATAGGTACAAAAAAACCATTTATCATTTCTATTCTTCTATTTTCTCACTCTCCCCCTCTCTCGACAGCTTTTGAGGATTTTCAGGTATAAAAGATATAGAAGGCAAGAGAGAAAGATACAAAAAAATTAGAATATAACACTTAACGAGGTAAAAATACAAATATTGCGCGAATAAAGATGTAAAAGAGAAAAAAAGCAAGACAAAAAGGGAACAAATAAAATACAAACCATTGCTAAGATCGAATGAGAATGTTTAAAAATTGAATTGCTGTTTGAATGCGTGCAAATTTAACGAGTGGTCGGCAATAGGAGTCGTGCAGAGAAATGCCCTGGGATTCACGAAGCTTGGAAGTACCCAGGTAACGCGTAAGGAACTCGACAAGAACTGGACATACTGCTAAATAATTAAATAGTCCTCTCTTGCATAAAAGTTCCCCTCTCAATTTGAACAGCCATCGTGACTGTCTAAGAGACCAACTACTGTGCGATTCATTATACCCACAACCTTGATTGAATATTTAGTTCATTATAAAACGAGAACCTGGACGACGATATGGCACTAGTCGCAGCCTCGTCCCAATGATTCTGGCATATTTTAATTAATAATGAGGCTTTGAACCATGAAGTTCTCCTATTGATTACTTCAATTGCTAATATTCTCTTAAGTCGAAATGATGGTAGATTTAGAACTTTGCAGTCGAACAAGTACAAGTATAATCGGAGCCAATTTTTTGTACTCACTTTGAAACGCTCCTCGCGAAATCGAGCGAGTCCGAGTCCGAATAGAGGACGTTGACTCCCAGGGAGAACCCGTGGACGGGACGCCGGGTGTCGACTGTCGGCACGCTGTACGGCGAGGACCTGAACACGACCAGCATGATCGGAGCCCTGGAGACGATCTGGGGCAGAAGACCTCCGCCGCAGTAGCGAGCTAGGAGTGGTTCGTTTTCCGTTGGTCCATCGTGGAAAAGCAGCTGGTCTTCTCCGGGCGAGCAGTCCGTCCTCGTGAACTTGACAGTCTTGTTAAATCCCGCCACGGACCTTTTAAAAAAAATCATTACCAACCCAATCTTTATAAATAAAATAAACGCACCTTCTTATCCTGACGTAATTGTCCTTTATGCCGATCATGGCGTGTTTGCAGGTCGGAACGGTCTTCTGCTTTATTAGATAATAGCAGGTGACGTTCCTCGGATAGAGGCCGGGAAAATTGGGACTCTGCACCTGGCAGTTTTTCCTGAAAAACACAAACACAATAGGAAATAATTCCCCCTCGCAAAACCCAATGAAAAATATCAGATTTTATGTACAACTTGTCCCATGAACAGACGTAAATACTTCGGTGTTTTTCCTTATCATCAATTTTGTTACAAAGAGTCTTTTTTCTTTACTTTGTAATATTTTCATTACTGTTTAATAGGAGTTTTAAAATCTTAATGACTCATTACAAATATGAGTCATTAATGACTCATGAAAAATATAACATTTTATGTACAAGGTGTCCCACTTACAGACGTCAATACTTGGGTGTTTTTCCTTCTGATCAATTTTGTTACAAAGAGCCTTTTTGTTTACTTTGTAATATTTCCATTACTGTTTAATAGAAGTTTTAAAATCTTAATGACTCCTTATAAATATGAATCATTAATGACTCATGAAAAATATAACATTTAATGTACAAGGTGTTCCACTTACAGACATCAATACTTTGGTGATTTTCCTTCTAATCAATTTTTTTTTCGAGAGTTCGCAACAGCAGAGGTTATATCAACCCTCGGGGTCCCGGTGTTTTTGAAAAAAAAAGGCCCATTTGTAAGAATGTCGGGTTCGAATGCAGGGCTGCTGGATTCGAACCCGGGACCTTTACCTTACAGTGATGAGCGCCGTGTCAATGCCTAAACCGTTGCGGCCACCTACCCCCCCCCCAACGATAACTTTGTATTATTTTCATTATTTTTGAATAGGAGTTTTAACATCTTAATGACTAATTTTATTCGCATTTAATAATAATAATACAGTGTTTATTTTTAAAGCATTACATATTTTACGCATAGTTAAATATAAAAGTATAAATATAAATAAATAATAAATATAAATAGAATTAGCCAAACTCATTTAAATTTAAAATAAATTTATTTCCCGTTTAAAATATTCAACAATTTTGGCCCTGATCTTCAAAATCTGAAAGATTTTTTATGCTTTGACATTGCCGTTATTTTATTAAACAATTCCGTTACTTCGATATTTTATTTTATTGTGACGAATGTATTTCTGGCTAATTCTACAACCCTTTTTCCCCTCACGCTGTTACGGCCTACACTCCAACAATGGAAATTATTGCAGATTCTCAAGTTTAGTATTCGTTCGTCCACATTTTTAAAGAAAGTGTCTATTTGAAAATGTTACTAGTGGGAACAATACATAATCTATATTTATTCTCATTTTATTGCATAGATATTGTATATTATGTGTTAAAAAAAGGCTAATAAACAAATAATAAGTAGAGCAGAATGCAGGATCTTCAAATTCCCCAATTTAGTACTTTTCTATTTGACAAATTTTAATAAAATATATCAATTTTGAAAATTTTGCAGTAGAGATATCCAACAGATTGAGTCGTGAGGTTCTATCCACCGGAAGTGTCGATTGAAATAACGTCTCACCTACAAAGAATTATGTGCGGGGCATCAATCAAGCTGGAGAATCATTCTTTGTCGTTGTTGTAGAGAAAAATCATCTAATAGTGTTGGTAAAACCTCCTTTANTGCAAGGAAAGTTAGACGACTGCAAGAGATCAGATCAGAGCCCCTAAGTCCCTGGACAAGTTGAGAGCGATACGGCTTAAAATTGTAAGTCGGAGTACATCTCCAATTTTGTTTTTTGAAAAACCTAAAACCCTTCCAACATTTCGGAGAGAGGAATTCGCATTTTCGCTGAACGTACAATATAATATTAAGCTCTTCGTCGAAATTACGCTGTCGGTTTCTTTTTGCCATAACTTTGTCATTTTTTGACCAATTTAAAATCCGATTGCACCATTGTTTTCAAAGGAAAAACACCTTTAAAATGATTTGTCAGGATGTACAGGGTGGTATTTGAAATTTTGAAGTTGAACTGGGCTTGAGGTCCCCTGTATAATTTTTCTACAAAAAAGGTAAAATTTTGAAATCAGACTAAAAAGTATTAAACACTTTTTTTATGGCGTAACTGATTCAAAAGAAATTCAGCCGGGCCATCTAGAAATTACACCCTGTATATTTCACAAATTTTTCTATTTCAATTGTTTTTTTACCCAACTAATCCGGCCGAAAACTACTCAAATTTGGAGACGTACTAAACAAACGAAAGTATCCTCAACTTCTACCGTACCACATAAAAAACAAATCCTTCTTTCCTCTACTCTAGTTATGTCTTAATTTAATCCTAACAGCCCTCCTTGAACTTTAAATGTAGTGCTAATAAAATTTCACCATTTTTTTTCAATTAAGTCCGGCCTGTTTAAAAGTAGGTAAAATTGTGGCTCTTCCTTTTTTTTCCTAAGTTATTTTCTGAAATCAACTTATAAGTAAATTTACAGTAAATAAATTATTACGAGCCTTTTTGTGTTGGTGTAAGCGTTCAATATTATTTATCTTTACTTTAGTGCAGAGATTCTTTAAACCAAAACACATTTTTACTGACAGTTTGTAACAGAAAAATCTAATTTTTAGCAATAAAACGTTAATTTTTACATCGGTAATCCTTTGACAACATATAATAATAATAAATTCTTTATCGTTCTTTACCTTTTTACAGTATGCAGATCTTAATTAAAATAATAAAACTAAATTCACTAAAATAAAATTGTAACTAAACAGCATATAAACTAAAAAAATGAAATAATACAAATCAGAAAGACTAAATTTGACCAAAGTATTTGACAAGAAAGTTGCTACATGCTCATTTAAATAATAATAATTTATAAAGTCTGGTCGACTCCCAATCCCATTGCCGACATATATTTTATGATTATTTAAATTAAAAACAATCTATTTGACATCTATTGTACAGACAATATCGGGATATTGGGATCAGTCAGGAAGATTTCCTATCTTTCGAAAAGAAAGTTGATTTTTTTAAACCATCGCAACAATTTTCATTAAAATTATAGCCAGAATAATAATAATATATTGACATAAAACGTAATGTCCTTCTAAAGGAAGCCTGTCATTTTTTTTGCCAGCGTTTTCCATTGTATAAATGATACACATAAATAAAAATAAAATATATAATCGACTTTCAAGCCCCTTTTTGTCGTACCATAAACCCAAGATTATGACGACCGGCGAAATTACCCACTTACTCTGTCTCACTGCCGCTTCTAAAGTGCTGTTTATATACGGCCGTATAAAATTGAATGCCGTCGGATCATCCTGACAATAATAATTCATAATCGACGATGATTTTTTTTTGTCTTATACGTTTGACCCAAACTCGATAAATATTTACAAGAGCGTCTTGTACTAGCCTTAACTATCAAAAAGGCAAACTATACAGACAACCCTGAAGAAATTGGTAGAACATGGAGATAAAAGAAAGACCTACCTAATCACACAGTTTATCAATAATATAACAGAAAAAATACAGTAAAAGGGCAAAACTTATCTTTTTTTACTCTCTCTCTCTCTCTCTCTCTCTCTCTCTCTCTCTCTCTCTCTTTCTCTTTCTCTCTTTCTCTCTCTCTCTCTCTCTCTCTCTCTCTATCTGACAAGTCAAACTTTATTCTATGTCTATGTACCTTCTTTCATAAATTCTGATCTTTTTTGAATTATTGAATTACCGAAGGAAATATTGTCTTAAATATTTTCTTCTCCTTTTTTCCTCTCGATTGTCTACCATGTTTCTCCATCCGCTGTTGAACTATTCCAAAGAGAACCTTTTCAGAATCGATTCCTTTTGGTCAGAGACGGTTTAGGAGGGGGAAATTCAATAATGAAGATGGAAAGGGATTTTATTCTGTAAACGAGAATGCGAAGGGCCGAAAGGATAGGGCTACCGGCCCTACGCTTTATACATTACCCCATTAGGCCCCGTGCTCTTTTCCCCCCACTCGATTAGATGCCGTTTCGTTTATCCCTCCAACCTGGCCTGTTTTGATTTGTAATCGAAAAAATCGTGAATCTTCGAGGGTTAACCCCGGCGATTTGATGAAAGTCGGGCTTAACTTTGCCCCCGACTTTCGACGTGATGAAGAGAAAGGATTATGCGTTAGTTTTAATTAAAACTACACCAGTTACCATGGATTAATACGGATTTTAGATTACACGGTCGCGTTATTAAATTATTAAACGACCTGTTGAGCCTGAGGGTTGAAGACTGATCACGATAATTATATTACTAAACGACGCCATTGGCAAATTAAAGCCTAGTTAATCTTTCGACTATTACTCAATAATAATCATAAATTACAGTTGGAGTTTGTATTGACCTCAGTAATCACATTAAATTTTGAGATATCTTCAAAAAGTCTCCGGGATGAAGTTGACATGTGGTTTCACAAAGCGATTTATATCACCATCCTCAAGGCCTGTTTATTTAAAATTATATACATTAAAAATTTATATTCTTCAGTCTTTAAATTCGTAATCTGAACCTAACCCGTCCCTAATCTATAAAATAATCGTAATAGCAATTTTGATTTGCTAACAGGGACGACAGGATCTACATGGTGCAAGGAAGGAATAATGAAAAAATTCGACATCCTATGGGGGTCGATCAAGGCGCGATTCTAAGCCCAATATTCTTTGCACTCTTTTTAAATGATCTGGAAGACTGGTTTGATTTAGAAGGTCATCGATAAGCGGACTCGTTTATGCGAACGATGTGAGTTTATTGATTACTGTTCGCGAAGATTACAGATGATTCCAATTAATTATTCTTTTTAACTAAGGTTTTTGATTGAGATGAAAAATTTATGTCACGAGCGGGATTCGAACCTACGACATTCGGCTGCTCTAACTCCTTGAGCTATCGTGATTTCGATCCCGTCGGACACCAACACCTCATCTCAACCTAAAACCGTTCGAATTTTCCCTCTTTTTTGCCATTTTTGAGCCGAAGGTCGTGAGTTCGAATCCCCCTCGTGACACTAATTTTTCATCTCGACCAAAAACCTTAGATAAAAAGAATAATTATTTGGAACAATTAATACGATGTTGATTGGGATTCGGGTTGTGGTCTTCAAACATACATTGTTATTATATCAACGCCCAAGCTTTCGACAAGTTTTATTGCCTTCTTCAGCGGATCTACAGAGGCATAGGGATATAATCATTTAGACAGTTATAAATTGTATAAATAGTTATAAAATATCAGTTTTTTTGTTACTTAAAGATACAAAGTCAAATCGTAAACACATTGCACATTGTATGTGTACAAACAAACTATATACATATATAATAAATAAATAAAAACCTCTCCTTAACAGCCTCTTACATATATAGGCATTTTTTAAAACCAGTAACAATTACTTAATAAATATATTCTTTGGGTACATAAATATCACAGGCGTTTGACTAGAAAATTGTGTTTATCACGTTATCAGGTGGGAGGTTCCCCACCCCATCACCTAATTATAACAATCATTTCCCACAATTTTAAAAAACAAGATCTTAATTGCTAATACATTGGTAATTCTATGTTATCACAGCCTGTTATAATATATAAATAAATAAATAANACCCGAATCCCAATCAACATCGTATGAAGGCTGGTTGATCGCACAACAAACAACAATTAATACGGTCAATTATGACCACTAAGCAAATATGGATTAATTATAGATAATGATTAACTCACTTCAAAAAAAAAAGACATGGATTATGATCTTAAACTAAACTTGAGTTAAAACTGTGATTCCCGGTTGGTTTGAATACACATACAAGCAAAACGGAAAAAATTAATATTCGGAAAAAAAATAGAAAAGTCGATCCAAACAAGGTTAAACATTATTACAAAAATCATAATTAATAAACGTAATGCTCGGGGAAAAATATAAGATTTTTGAACGGCGATTTTCAATACAAGTAAGGTATGAAGTGTAACAAGAAAAAAGTAAGCCATGTGGGTCAACTCAAGAAATGTGATTACGCTCAATTCCGTCGTTTATTTTATTTATCTTTCGAAGAAAAAAAGCTCCGAACGTCAATAAAACAGAAAATTGCTAGAAATTTTCCTAAAAGGTCAGAAAGACGGTCGACCCTTTACGACCTGATTTTTTGCTTGATGGGTATATGGATATTTTGTCCCATTTGGACCCCTCCGAAAAAACGAGGTTAACTCGACCATTTCTCAGTTCTCGAGGTGTTTTTTTGTAAACACTTCCTCTTCCAAAGGCAAAATAAATTCAGTGGATGTTTCCTTTGAATTTGACCGAGGAACATACATACTTTTAACAGTGTTTTCATTGAGAATAAGGTTTCCCTGAGTTTTTTTTTAATTATAAAGACTTTCATTAGGCTCCAATTATGGTCGAAAATAAAAACACATTACGGGCGAATTATAAAACCGATCACTGGAGGGATGGCTTTACCCCCCCCCCACAAGGATGGAAATTGTCTTAAAAACTGAAAGGCCAGACGTTAATAAACCTTCTTTTTTCTTTACTCTACTTTTTCTTTCTTGATATTTTGTAATTAATACATTTATAAAAAAGTTGGTAATTCGTGAAAAACTTTAAAATCTGATTACACTTCAGTTCGTCATATTTTTTGTTTTTGTTTTATTTAGCAGTTGTAAATAAGTCAACACGGCTTCGTCCGCGTGGAGCTTAAGCAACACACCCTGGTCCCGCCCGCAGATCCTTTTGAGAATTAGACCTGGGATTTGGGGAGTTCTCTCTCTCTCTCTCCCTCTCTCACTCTCTCTTCCACTCTCCCTCTCTCTCGAGGATATAACTGAATCCCAGGCCGGCCCCACCCATATTTCCTCTTTCTCGTCGATCGGCGTAAAAATCAGGCTGAATTCACAGCCAAATGAAAGGCTTAAAACGCCGAAAACAGCAAAAAATTCGGCTTTCTTTTTTTTTCAAAATCAAATCAGCAGAAAAAAATTTCTTACAATAAAAGGGGTGTGCTTAAGCAGAAAAAGCAGTAGAATCAGGATAAAATGACGGAAAAAGTTAAATATCTAAATGAATTTTTAAAAAAATTATAACGAAATTAGATAGATTTTTTGCTAATTTAACTGATATTTATCTAACATACTAGTAACTAAAAATTACTTAATTATTTAAGTTATTAATTAAAAAAAATATAGAAATAATTGATCGCATTAAGTCAATGAATCGACTATCCTGTAAATCGAACAATAACACGGCGCTTAGTGATGCTAAACCCGCACTGCATTCTAGACGTGCGGAAGTGTTGCCCGATAGCGCCGTTCAGTTTAATTTTTATTTAGCTATTTCAAACCACCCAATTCTTTATTTAATTGTTGTAATAAATTTTTGTTATTTATTATTTTAAAATTTTATATTTTTTAGAAGAGGAAGAAGTCCAATCAGAAAGAAAATTATTATCAGTTTCTTCGTACAGGAAGTGTGTTTCTTTCAAATTGGACTTATATCGAATTGTTCGGTTGTGTGTAAAAAATTCCAGTATAAAAATAGCCTTACTCCAGATTGTTTTTAAACATAAAATTATGTTCAATATTAAAGGCTGATAGTTAAAATTCTTATGAAAAATATTGCAACACATATAAATCAAGATATTGTTTAGTTTGTGACCTTAACGAAAGTTTTGTTTATATTTATTGTAATATTATTTGTTCCATGAAAGACATTAGGGATTAATCGAGTCATTCTTAATCGGCGTAAAAATCATGCTGAGTGCAAAAAAAATTCGGCTTTCTTTTATTCAAAATCAAATCAGCAGAAAAAATTCTACAATCTAAGGGGTGTGCTTAGGCAGAAAAGGCGGTAGAATCAGGATAAAATGACGGAAAAAATTAAATATATATATATTATACCGACAAACGAAGAATCAAACTATTCCTTGGTTCATTTCAATTTGCTTTCAGACAGTTTTTACTTTTTCTAGTAGCAATTTCCCTTTATTTTGTTTAAAATTATTAACACGAATAAAATAATTTTTTAACATAGAAAATTAGATCGAAAGATACAATTTGGTATAATTTTACATCATGAAAAATTCTAAGGGGAAAGAAAGTTTGCCGATCAATAATAAATATCTAGGTTCTAACCCAAAAAACCATCTATTTCTCCCCACCCGAAGGAAAAATTATCTGCTGCAAAAAAACTGCCTCCGTAGAGTCCGGCAAAACTTTATTGTTTGAAATAAAATTCCGTACTCAGCTAAATTACTTGTGGGGATTTCAAAGAGATGAAGAGTTGGAAAAGTTCCGTTCGTTTTTCCACTCGATTCAAGGCAGGGACTCCTGTTTTTATAAAGCTTTCTCAGATTTATTCTTTATAAATAACTGAACCAATGATATTAATAAAGCTATTATTGAATGTTTCAAATCAGCTGACCTTTGCAGGTTACTAAAACTGAGGTGGGAACAGGTTTACTTAAAATGCGTACCGTGGAGAGAAAATGAAAGGCGCAGTGTTCATTATACAATTTGAAAAAAAGTGTTTCACTTTGATGCTGTGTTTCGTGTTGGCTGAAATCGGTCCCTTGCATTGGGTAGAGAGATTTAGCTAAATAAATAAACAAAGTAGGGCGCTTTCCCAATACGCTTGAGAACCAGTCGGTTCGCATTGATGCGGTATTTTTTTTTTTTAATTTTTTTTTGTAAGTTGTTTACCACAATTGTTTTTTGTCTCTACTCCAATCAAACCAATCGGAAAAAAAGCTAAAAAGGCCTGCTTCTTCTCAGAACATCGGAGAGGTTAAGAATTGCAAGAGATTACCAATTGCGGACTTAAGAAAAAAGTCCTTCAAAAGAAAGGTGAAAAAAGATGCTAATGGCGGCTGTATTGAAAGAGTGACCAACATACAGCAGAAGGAAACAAATAATAAAGTCAAAGGGGGCAATACTCCTTATTAATTGGAATTTTAAAATGAAAAAATTAAACATTTTTAAAAATGTTGCAGTTTGTTTTATCCTTCTTCCGTCCACATCATCAAAAGATCCAGTTAATCCGGCTTAGATAAATTAATTGGCGTCCCCTCAGATATTCGACGTTCTCAAGAGATACGACCAGGCTTTATTTACAGCCGCGGAGGTTTTTCATTAGGGAAATGGACCTTGGAAAAACAAGGGTTCGTACGTATCGTAGAAAAACAAGTTCGTACCAAGTGGATCAATTACCTGTAACACTCGTCGAACGTCCTGCTGCAGTATGAGCCTGGAACGTGAACGCCGCGTTCAATCGGCGCTTCGACGCTTCCCAACCTTGACACGGCCTCGATCGATCCGAGAAATTTATACCTAAAAATAAAAGAAAAAGTTTTAAAATATGTTTCAAAAATTTCGGTTATCGTTCAATTTAAATGATGAAATTTTAAGTTTTCTTTATTTCGAAATTGTGGCGACCCAATATGACAGGCGGGGCGATTGGTATTCCGATGGAAATGACGTCTGACTGACGTACAACGGCAAATATTAACTATGGGTTTGAGTTTTGATCCATGTGTACGGGTCGTAAACGTAGAGATTTGTTCGATGAACTTTAGAGGGAGAGAGAAAGTGAGAATGCGAGATAAAAATCGAAAGTACAGGTTATTACAAAGAAAACGAAATGATACATAAATAGGTACACACATAGGTACACAAAAAATAGAGAAAAGATATTTTTATTAAGGACATACCGAAACAAATATTTCCTATGGATATTTTGGGCTTCACCCTCCCTGAGGTCACTGGAGATTATAGACTAAACGGTTTTTTAAACAAGTAGTACACTATTTTTGGATTTATACCCCATATTTTACAAAAAAATCTTTGATCCTAGTGTATTTTGTGTGTCTGTGTGTGGGTGTGTGTGAGAGAGATGGATGGAAAAAAGAAGAGAGAGAGAGAGTGCGAGAGGGATGAAGAGAAGAGAGGGAGCGTGAGAGATAGAAGAAACAGAGAAAGCAAGGATGTGGGCGAGAGAGAGAGAGAGAGAGAGAGAGAGAGAGAGAGAGAGAGAGAGTGAGAGAGAAAGAGTAAGAGGACAAGTGGACAAGAGAGGGTGAGAGGTGGATAAAAAGAGAGAGAGAGCGAGAGAGAGATAAAGAGCAGAAAGAGAGTGAGAGAAAAGGAGAGTGAAAACGAGAGAAAGGTAGAGAGGACGAAAGAGAGAGGTTGAGGGAGAGAGAGAGAGAGAGAGAGAGAGAGAAAGAGAGAGAGAATTTCATGTGAACACCGAAATCAACCCTTTAAATTAATTGGACTAATTGTTTTATTATTTACTTTCTTTCAAAATCTATTAGAATGAAATTTTGGAAAATGATAAATAATTAAATAATATAGAAATAACTAACCGTCTGCTTTGTAAACGTAATCGAATGTCAGTTTTTATTTTTAAATGTGGAAGTATAGTTTCCTTACTTAATAAATGGGTCCGGTTGAGTGTGAGGGATGGATGGAAAACGGTAGAGAGAGAATGCGAGAGGGATGAAGAGAAGAGAGGGAGAGTGAGAAAACAAGTGGACAGGACAGGATGGGAGATGATGCAAAAAAGAAGAGAGAGAGTGCGAAAGGGATGAAGATAAGAGAGAGGTATATATATATAGAGAGAGAGAGAGAGAGAGAGAGAGAAAGAGAGAGAGAGTGAGAGTGAGAGAGAGAAAGAAACAGTGGATAAAGGATAGAGAAAAAGAGAACGCGAAAGAGAGAGAGAGAGAGAGAGAGAGAGAGAGAGAACAACAGAAAATACCTTTCATTAATTTAAACTAGAAAAAACGGCGCTAGTGAGCTACCATACCGCAACACTTGCCAGCTATCAGAGAAGGTAGTTTTAAACGCCGTGTTTCTTAAACCAAAAACACATTTAAAATATCCATGCTATTTATTTAGTATTATAAATACTGTTTATACGTATTTTGTCTAAATTTTAAAATGAACAAGGCTATACTTGTCATAAGACAGAGAAATTATTGCCAGATAATTATTGTCAAATCTACATCAAATTTGTGTTACAAAAATCGACCAATAAAAACATTTTTCCAATTGAAAACTAGAGGAGAATTATAGGCAATAAATATCTGTCGAGTTAGGGCCGGGATGCTTTGGAGTTGATGAAGTGATGTTGGCAGTTTGATCAAAACGATTCGCCCCGCTAAACGATAATAGTCCCCTTTTGATCAACTAAGACAAACAGTCATATCTGACATCTCATAACACATTCCGGTGAAATATGCATTTAACACCGCATTAATAATTCCATTAGTGGAGAATTACGGCTCATTATTTAATTAGATTTGATCCCGTACATTTTTATTTATTGAAAAAAATCATTTTTAGTTTTTTTATCGAATTTATTCTTTAAACATATATTTTATTTGTATATATTTTTATATATTTTCGATTAAGCGCTTTAACTTGAATGTCCCTTCGGGGACTAAACTTTACAGCCGGGAACTGTTAACAAAGCGGGCACAGTTTGTACAAGTTTCAGTCAGAGCCAGGTTGAGTTGAGAGGCAATCCTACTGGGTGAGAAACATAAACTTTGAAGTGTCCAGTTTGACTCGAGTCCGGCTGTTTCGGACAGCAATTGTGGATCTGTTTTTGCTTTCCGCGTTTCGAGAAATTGCAGCGAACATCGTCCCACGGCTCGAGTACCGCACAAGTTTTCAGGCAGGCTTATACAAACGTTTAGCACAATACTAATTAATCCTTTTCTTTTCACAATGATGAACACACGAGGACACATTAGGAAATATTTGATGTTTTGTTTTTTAATAGTAGAGAGAGAGAGAGAAATAGTAGACAAATAGTAAATAGTAGAGAATTATGAAAATTGCAAATAACCATAGTTAATGAAAAAATATACTCTCTCTTTCTCTCTCTCTCTCTCTCTCTCTCTCTCTCTCTCTCTCTCACTCATTCTGTGCAAAAATTCCACACAATTGATTTTTTTCATTCTCCCGAAAAAAGAAAATTCTGCCCTTAATTTGTTTCATTTTTTTAAATCGACTAATACTTGTCTATGCTATTAATCCTTAATCCAAAACATAGATAAATGATTTGTCAATGTTTACTTTTTACGGAATTTAAAATGTTGGTTCAGTCTCATTTGAATTCTGAAGCAATAAACTGTTTAGTTTTCATCTTTGTTTTCTTAATTTAAAATTTTAAACTTAAAAATGCCCTTTAGTGCTGAAGATGTTGCGCGTGGTGTGGCACTTATTGATGATGGACGTTCCATCAGGTATGCGGCTATTGCCATCGAAGTTCCCTACGAAACAGTGCAAGACGCCGTTAGACCTTTTCGAGAAACTGGGTCCTACCATAGAAGGCCCGGTTCTAGACGCCCTAGGTTAACAAAACCCCAGAATAACCGTTTTTTTGATTTTGACAATTTTGCGAAACCGGCACCTGACTGTTGTTGAAGCGATTTATCAGCTACAGGAGGTTTGAGGTGTCCAAATTTTTGAACGCACTGCTCGAAGAAGATTAAATCAGTATGGACTGGTGGCTTTTTCCCCGTAGGAGAACCAGAATTGACCAGAACACAGAGTTGCACGGCTCACATTTGCTCGAGAACACAGTCGTTGGTCTTTCGACGATTGGTCTGCTGTACTTTTTACAGATGAGTGTAGATTTGCTATACGATCTCCAAATGGGCGGGAAAGAGTGTGGAGAAGGCGAAATGAAAGGTACGAAGCCTGTAATTTTACCCAGAGCCGAGCTTTTCAACGTAGCTCAGTGATGGTGTGGGCGTGAATTTCAATGGGGAGTTGCACAGAATTGGTTGTTGTTCGTGGATGGTCTTTGACGGCCACTCGCTATGTGGATGAAATTTTGGAACATCATGCTTTGCCTATTGTACGATCAACCCATTCTTAGGATAACAAAAACAAATATAGAATCCTCCATCGCAGAATGGATCCAAGCAAAACAAAAGGAGAAGTGGATAAACTGTAGCGGTGCTAGGCATAGTAAACTTATGGTGAAACAACCCTCACCAAGACTGACAAAAGCATTGCTGCAATTGGAAAGGACCAAACTCAGAGGAGTGTTAGGACTACTAACCGGTCACTGGCATCTACACAACATGGGTATAAACAACGATGATCCCAATTGCAGATTATGTAAGGAAACAGTTGCCCATATCATCTACGAATGCAAAGCAACAGCTCAATGGAGGTTTAACCTAACGTATGGAAAAACTTAGGGAATCAAATTGCAGCAGCGACAGTCAATGACCTGATACTTCTAAGAAGAAGGATTGAGTCTATTCTAAGGAACGAGGAAGGTACAATAAACCAGAGGCTGCAGTGCCTGGGGAGCGCAAACCCCGCTTCCTAGTATCCATACCATACCATATCATTTGCCTATCCTCGATGAAATCAGCGACAATCCCATTTTAATGCAAGATAATGCCCGTCCACATGTCGCTCGTATATTACAAACCTTCAACTTAATAACATCAGAGTCTTAGGCAGGCCAGATTTGAACCCCACGAACATTTATGGGATACCCTCAAAGACGATTAAGAGCACGTCCATCACTTTCTGATACACTCCGCCATCTAGAAAAGTCTCGTCTTGAAGATGGGCTAACCACCAGCAAAGAGACATCTCCAGACTAGTCGAAAGTATGCCTTGGCGTCTTCGAGATCCAATTAAGGCATGAGGAGTAACTTTGTAATTAGAAAGCGAGGGAGGACATTTTCCATTTTATAGCGGTTTGCCCTATTCTTTCTGAATATAGAAGATTATTCTTCGGTGCAGTGTATTTACAAGAAAAGATTTTTTAAGTTTGTTGGATGGTTCCATTTTGACAGCATTGGTGTTATACACCAGGCTGGATAAGAAGAATTATATTGTATGATAACATTGTTTTATTCTATCCATTATTCGACGTTATTATTATTAAATTCGTTAGATTTCCTAGTCCAATTGACCAAATAATATCTTTCAGTTACGATGTTTTTTTTATATTTCGACCTCAACAGTTAATCTTCTGATTTTTCCTTCTTAAAGGTGGGATAATAGGTCATCTCAAAAAAACCACAACCAGTTTTTATCCACAACGTTTATCGGATTTATTTTAATCCTTCCTCAGGTAAGTTAAAGCCTGTATACAGAACAAATATTTTTTAAATTTTTAGATCAACATGGTTATCATTGATTCTTCACTACTTAGAATGGTTAAAAAAGTGGTCGTCAATCATTAATATTTTATAACAGTTTATTTAAAAAAAGAGCCAGTGTGGTACTTATTCAGATACGAAGAAACGTTTTAATATTCTGAACCTGGCTAAACTCTTATCACAACCTCTCATGTGAAGTTCGACTTCTTATCAATTTATCACAGACCAACGAATCAACATTAAAAAAACCACTCAACAGTTAAAATTGCATTTTTCTTAAAAATATATTTTTAAACAACAAATTTTATTTATTTTATTAACAATATTTTAACAATTATTATCAGAACTATCACAGATTTTAAGTTTCCTCCAGAGTTTAAAATTGACTAGATTATTTTTATATATTGTTTAATTGTGTAAGGTTTTGGTTGAAATGAAAGAATTCGAAAGAAATGAAGGAAAATTCGAAAGGTAGTTTGAGATGGGAAGTTGGTGTCCGAGTGGATCGAAGTCACGATAGCTCAAAGCGGTTAGAGCAGAGCCGAAGGTCGTGGGTTCAAATCCCGCTCGTGACACTAACTTTTTCATTTCAACCAAACCCTTACATAAAAAAATTAATTTATTAATTTTATTATTATCGAGATGTAATTAAGGCAAGAAGAGGAAATACGCGATATTGAAATGTTAATTAAAAATCTAAAACAAAATTAGAACAACTTTTATCTGTCCTTTTTTTTAATTTTTCATTTTCCTTGGCAATTTAATTTTTTTAATACTTTTTTTTAGACAGACTCAATCATTAAACGATAAAAAACGTGAAACTTTGATTAATATATAAAAATATATACAAATCAAGTTATATTACGGAGTCAAAGAGCAATGCATTCACCAGCTCCCTCCTTGAAAGATCTATAACAAAAACTCGTGCTTTCATTAAAAACAATCCTAATCTAGTTATTTGGAAAGCTGATAAAGGTAATGTGACAGTAGTGTTTGAAAAATCCCACTACAAAAGAAAAATGGAAGAACTTTTGAGTGATAAAAACACATACTCCTTAGCTAGATCTGACCCTACAAAGAAAATTCAAAGTAAATGCAATTCTTTAGTAGATAGCCTTTTTGAGTCTGAATATATAGACAGAAGACAAAAAGTGCTGTTGAAAACTAGCAACGCAGTTTGCCCAAAGATATATGGCCTCCCAAAAATACACAAACCAGGCATACCCCTTAGGCCCATAGTGTCCTCCATTAATAGCCCAGGAACAGAGCTGTCCAAATATGTTGGCAACATATTAAACAAGTTGGATGCAGACAAACATTATAACATCCTCAATGCATTTGTGTTTAGAGAGATGGTAAAAGACCTCACCATAGAGGATGATGAATTGCTTGTATCCTTAGATGTGAAATCATTGTTTACAAGTATACTTCTAGGGATGATAAGTTACACCTTAATGAGGAGACAAAAAGAGTTAGATACCCTTACCAATATCCCTTTTCACACGATACTGGAGGTCTTACAAATCACTACATTCAATGGATTCTTCAGGTATGAAGATCAAATATATACATAAAAAGAAGGTGTGGCCATGGGAGGGACTCTTTCATCGGTGCTTGCGGACCTTGTAATGAATGAGCTACTGGATTGGATTGGACTTAATTTTGGATTTCACATCAAATTTCTTAAGAAATATGTTGATGATTTGTTCCTGATTATAAAAAAGAGTGAGCTGGTGGACATTTTGAAGGCGTTCAATTCTTTCCATCCGTCACTACAATTTTCACAAGAAATTGAGGTAGATGGGATACTTCCTTTTCTTGACCTAGTTGTCATTAGAGATAATGGTAAATTAATAACTAACTGGTATTTGAAACCAACCAGCTCGGACAGGATGCTACATTTCTCATCCAACCATTCCTTTCAAATGAAAGCTAACATAGTTTTTAACCTCATTGATAGGGCTCTGAAATTGAGCGATGATCGGTTCCACAGTGAGAACAGGAAAAATGTGCGCTCTATGTTAATAGATAACGGTTACCCAAGATCATTAGATAATAAATAGATTAATGGAAAACAGGACAAGAGCAACAAGGAATAAGAATATACCTGTTGAGCAAAAAATTTATCAACCAGTTACATATGTAGCTGGAACATCAAGTAAGTTAAAAAAAACTATTGAAAGAAAAAATAGATAATGTCAAAATTGTTTACACATTTAATAATAAAGTGGGCAAGAATTTTTACACAAAACTTAAAAGTAAAGAACCTCTATTACAAAAATCTAATGTAGTGTATCGCATCAAATGTACACAATGTCCCACTGTGTATTACGGCCAAACGAAACAATATTTATCGGAACGTGTGCGGCAACTTAAGTATGATTGCAATGATGAAGAAAGGCCGGGACTGTCCTTGGGACTATCCAAACATAGACTTGCTACTAAACATAATTTTGACTTCGATGGAGTCAAAATTGTGGCTTCAGAACAAAATATTGGTCGTAGACTTTTGAGAGAAATGATATTTATTCATCAGGATAACATGGCATGTAATTTAAAAAAAGATTTGAATAATTTGAGTGTGATATACAGTGGAATTTTAGCAAAAGACAAGGTCTATCCCCAAAGATCGTAACAATACTTGCATACATATTTATTTATTTATTATAACAGGCTGTGATAACATAGAATCACCAATGTACCAGAAATTAAGATCTTGTTTTAAAAATTGTGGAAAATGATTTTTATCAGTAGGTGATAGTGTGGGAAACCTCCCACCTGATAACGTGATAAACACAATTTTTCTAGTCAAACGCCTGTGATATTTATGTACCTAAAGAATATTAATTGTTAAGTAATTGTTACTGTTTTAAAAAATGCATATATATATATGTAAGAGGCTATTAAGAAGAGGTTTTTGTTTATTTATTTATTATATCGTGAAATATGTAATGTGTTTAAGTTATGACTTTGTATCTGTAAGTACAATTAATGCAATTTACAGTAATTTATAACTATTTAAATGATTATGTCCCTATGTCTCTGTAGATCCCCTGAATTTTTTTATATAGCCTGTGGCTTCCTCATTTTTTCTACCTGCAGTATCTGTACGGACGCGTCGTAGGGTTTTGTAATTCTATTTAATTTTTTGTGCTTAATAGTTTATGTTCTACTTTTTATTTATTTTTAATTAATTTTTTAATATAGCGTCTGGTATATTAAAATTGGGACTTACCTCATGTTGAGCCTGAGAGGCGAATTGTGCACCAGCCTCACAGTGAGGGTGATCGTCGTGGATTCGGAATAATAAACCGTGGGACCACTCGCCTCCCCGCACCATCCGCCCTCGGTCAGCGGCCTCCCCAGCTCTGTCACCTGCATGTAACCGTCCGTGCACTGTCCGTCGAACCTGCCGACGTTGAACGTGTCGAACAGAAACTGAAAATGAAAATTAAAAGAAACGTCAATCCATTTTTGTTCAAGTGGTCAATTGTCCAAGTTACTTCTTTCAATTAATTATTATTTTTATGTAAGGTCTTGGTTGAGATAAAAACAAGCCTGTGTCACGAGCGGTATTCAAACCTACGACTTTCGGCAAAATACACCGCTGCTCTACCACTTGAGCACTTGACTAATGTGTAAATTAGCAAAAAGAGGGAAAATTTGAAGGGTTGTGGATTGAGATGAGGGGTTGGTGTCCGAGTGAGTAGAAATCACGATAGCTCAAATGGTTAGAGCAGCGGCGTATTGAGCCGAAGGTCGTGTGTTCGAATCTCGCTCGTAACACTGACTTTTTATCTCAACCATGACTGAACATAAAAAGAATAATTTATTAAAAGAAATCGTTATTTAATTTACTGTACTGACAATAATCGTGTTTGTTAAATTTTAATTTTTTTAAAAGGCTTTTATTCAATATAAACATGTGAAAGCTCGGTCTGACAATTAATCCTATAATTCGTGTCGAATGTGAAAACGTTTTTTTTTTCGTTGTGAAAATTTAAAAGAGCACACGATCCGCCCTGGTGTTAAACAGACAGCACTTTTCCTCCTGCCTCATCAATCAACTGTGCAAGGGTACTTCATTTGTATGATTCAACGTATCATACTTTCCACGGTATAACTCTTTTTTCCTTTAGAATGTGGAATAAACTGTAATTAAAAACTACATATATTGAGAAGACAACTTTAGTTAATCCGTGTTGTGTTTAGCGACCTTTAGTTAATGATTATTTGGAGATCGTGAGATGCGCTCTGGTGGGAAGTTTTAGAAAAACGTTTTTAAAAAAACATCTTTACTGAGATCATCTTCAGTGCCTGGGATTTATAAACATTGTTTAAATTTTACAAATACGTGTAGGATGTGAAAAAAATGAATTTATACGACGCTAGAAATTTTTGATTCAATGGAATATTTGTTTTCTGTGTAGATGTGTCATTCTTGTCTGTCGTGTTGAGAGTACCAGTGAGATATTGATGTTTTATATTTATTTACGTTGGATTTTGAAGAAGTCGGGATCGAAAGACATTTTTATACGAGGAGTCGGCTTCTTTGAGGTGAAAGGAAGCGACAATGGGAAAAATGGGTAATGGTTCGGCCTGATTATCCTTTCAGGATTAAATAGACGAGGATAATTAGGGAAATAAAAGCCAAATTGTGGAAGAATTAGACTATGTAGAAATGTTAATGTGTAGAATGTGATGATTGTTTTATATTTTCAATTAATTAAGGTATTTATCTCAACTAAAACCCTTAATTAATTGAAAGCTATTAATTGCGCAAGCAGACCAGGAAAACTAGTGAATTTAATAAGTTAAAATGAATTATGTCTTTACTAAAGTTCTCCGTGGTCATTTCATTTGTCGCCGAGAATCAAATAGATTACACGACATTTGAAAAATGGCAAAAAGGAGGGAAAATTCAAAAAGTGGGGTTGAGGTGGGAAGTTGGTGTCCGAGTCGATCGAAGTCACGATAGCTCAAGTGGTAGAGCAGCGGCGTATTGAGCCGAAGGTCTTGGGTTCGAATCCCGCTCGTGACACTGACTTTTTTATCTCAACTAAAAACCTTATTAATTGAAACATATTAATTGGTCAAGCGGACCCCGAAAACTAGTGAATTGTTTTATATGTTGTATTATGTTTTGTGTGATGTGATGATGATATATGCATGTTATCGATATTGAATTTGATTAATTTTAGCGTAGCTGCGACTGAGTTTACATGTGTCTGTTCTGTAATTGATTCCGTGTTTATCAGTGTTGATGTAATTTCTAAAAATTTACGTTTATGTTTGTTTTGTTCTGGTAATATTTTTGTATTGTTGAAGTCGAAATGGCATTGGTGTTCAAAATAGTGGGTAGCCAGTGCTGTGGGATTTTGTTTGAGTTTTTTTGCAATCATAGATATGTTGTTTTGCTCCCTTATTCAAATATTGGGATGTAATACCGACGTAAGTTGCCGGACAATGTAAACAATTGATTTTGTAAATTACGTCAGATTTATTTTTTACTGTTGTGGAATCTTTCATTTTGGAAAAAAGGCCGTGAATGAATGGCACGGATATGTATGTTTGTTTGTTTGTACTTGAGAGATTTGATGTTGTATTATTATTTATTAGTAATAGTGGATGGTGTTAGTACTGAGTTGTACTTGTTCATTGTGTGTTTTGGGTAGTGATTGTTATGGAGGATATGTTTGTATATCTTTATGTTTTTGTGGTGAAATGATTAATGGCTTAGGGTAATAATTCTATGAAGTAGCCCTTTGGCCTTAGTTAATCTCGTTTTTGTCATACTCTCGGTTTTTTTTCTCTCTCCACCGGGAGTTAATAAATAACCCGATTTTTTAATCGAAAAAAAAAAACAAGAAAGGGTGAAATTAGAAATTCCATCAATTTTGAAAATGAAAAAGAAAAGGAATATATTTGCTCTCTTTTTTTTATTCCCTCTTCTAAGTCAGCGGAACGACGCCGATTTCCCAGAAACGTACCCGTCTTCTGATAAAGGCGGTAATATTCAGTTTACGGTACTTTCGTGGTTTATGGCGACCATTCACCCTCCGCCCTCTAAAAAAAAAAAAAATAAATAAATAAAAGCAGGGTTTTCCATTCAAATCAAACGTGACAAATCACCCCTCTCGTAATACGGTTTAAACTGCGAAAATTCTTGGAACACCGTGGTGAATTTTTAACCCTCGACGTGTTTAATCTCCCTTATTTTTCTTTTTTCCGGATGTAAATATAAAATGAAATTACACGCCTGGTAAAGTTACTAATACACGAGGCTAAATCACGCTTATTCGCTTCACAAGAGAATAAGGCTATTGCATAAAAATAAACCACCCCGTTTACAAGAGGGTAAAAATCCTATATTTACTTATTGTACTTATTTATCATTATAGGCGGGAGGAGAAAGACGGCAAAGTCGGGAAATGGCGCTTTTTTTAATGTAATCATAAATTTCAACCTTAAAATACAATAGAATGTTGCATCTTTACCATTCATAATTTGCCTGCCGTTTCTCTTTTGTGTGTGGATCCCTCGAGGCATTTAAAGCACGCGGGATTATTGGAAATATTCTTATTACATGAAGTAATAAGGTCGTAATTTTAAGTTCGTAATTTTTTCACTGCCTTGCTGTCTGAGAATTAGTACCGCAACGTCCCCGAGAAATTTACGGTCTTTGTTCCGTATTACAAAAAATGTTTATATGCTAGGCTGGGAGAATCATTTAGAAAAAAATCCGGATCAATTTTTTGATCAATTCCGGAGAGAAAAGAAAGATCGAGGATGAGAGAAAGAAATGAGTGAGTGAGAAAAAGAATTAGAATGGAAGAAGAAGAATAGAAGAATTTCAAATATAAGAGTTAATGAGAAAGAGACAGACAGAAAAATATGTGTGTGTGTGTGTGTGTGTGTGTGTGTGTGTGTGTGTGAGAGAGAGAGAGAGAGAGAGAGAGAAAGAAAAAGTGAAAGAAAGGGAGAGAGACCGAGAGGAAAGGAAAAAATTGTAAATTAAGATAGTTAATGAGAGAGAAAGAGAGAGAGAGAGAGAGAGAGAGAGAGAGAGAAAGGGAGAGAGAGAGAAAGAGAGAAAGAGAGAGAAAGGGAGATTTTGAGGGCTGGGCATCCACCAGTAGCCAGACGCCACCAACCCGGCTGCAGCGAACGGACAGGGAATGATAGGGCTCTCCTCTCATATTCTCAATCTTNAGAGAGAGAGAGAGAGAGAGAGAGAGAGAGAGAGAGAGATACACCAAAACAAAAAAAAATTCTCAAAAATAATCCTGACATACTCATTCTTTCTGCTGATAAAACAAAACAAACTGTAGCAATCAGGAAAAAAGAGTAAAAGGAAAAAATTGAAAAAATTGTCAACGACACAAACACATCCAGCACAATCTAATCAGACCCAACCCCTTCTCTCATCAAACAGACAAACCCTTAAGAAACACTTAAACAAAAAGAAATTGACATATAACCTACAAAAAAACCTCAGACAAGAATAACACAACAAAAACAAACACTTTGAGCTCTGAAGGTGATCTCAATAAAGATCGAAACATTGGCATGATAAAGAAACTGTTTTTCTAAAACCTACATCACACCAGACCGCATCTCACGATCTCCGAATAACAATCTCAATTATAATATTGTTTTTTTCATATTTATGTTTAACAATATTGCCTTTTAACTTTTACATTATGTTATAGTTTCAACGATTTTTGATTATTTTAATTACAATATGTTTATTAATCAATACAACCTTTACTTCAGTAATTAATGTGAATTTTAATTAACTAATTAGCCCTGATTCACTCACTCAAAGCACATTTGTTTGTGTCAAAAATAATTTTAATTACCATTATTGTTAGAGCAAACTAACATAAATTACTGAAAGCCAGCATGCAAGAAAAGTGTCACAACTCAAAAAGGGGTTTGTTTTTAGGAGTAGTACAGCTGGATTTTTAAAGTTTTGTATTTTCGCTTAAGTCTTGGAGAAACGAAAGACAATATTGATGGACCCAATCACCTTAATGGCGTGTACTTAATACATAAGTAAAAAGAAAAATAAACTTCCATTTGTCCCTCCTGTAAAATTATCTTTCGTTGAGCTGTCACTTTTATTGTGGGGTGTGCGGTATACACTCTGGCCAATTTGAAAAAATGTGAAGCCATTAAAAAAACGTTTTTAAATGAAATTCTTTTACAGTTTTTAATGTTTTGGAAATTTACCTGTACGATATCGCCGTAGTCGTGACCGCTGGCGATGTAAGTAAGGTGACAGAGGTACGGCAGGGCGTTTTCCCTAGGCGTTTTCAACGTTATCGAATACGTTCTTCCCACTTCTCCATAATACGTCCTATTGCAAACTGAAATAATTCAAAAATTAAATTTAACAACAATAAATGAAAATAAACAGAAAAAGTCTGCAATGATAAACGGCCTTGTTAACGGGGATTAATTAAAACCGACGATCCTTCTCGGGGTCAATTAGTGAGGAGAAAGACGATTGTTTTTTTACGCAATAGGCAGTTGAGGAAGTTTTGCGGTTCTTAGTTAAAATATTCATATAAACGGAAGAAGCTGATGAATCTGGTTTGCTCCTGAGATCTGGCTGGGGGGAGAAAGCTTTTTTGAAACAAACAGGGTGTTTCAAAAGAAAAAAATGTGACAGAGCAATTTATTATAGGTTTTGATTTTAGGGATATATTATATAAGAATGAATGTTTCAGTACACATTTTTTTCCAGCTCAACAGGTTAAAAGGGAAATTCGAATTTCTTGATATCTTTAAGGCTTTCTCCTTCTATCTCGACTTTGTTAAAAGAGGGAAAAACACAAATAGAGGTGTAAAAAGATTTTACAGCCGGCCCCGGGAACGATATATCTCTACGGTCGCCTGAGCCAGGAGGATACCAAGAAATAACAGGGCATAAAAGACTTGTATAAACATTGATTTGACCCAGATTTCCTCCGAAAAGGGAAAAAGAATCACAAGGTCCCAATCTCTTAAATGGGAAACAAGTGGGTTTTACGGTCAGACCGTTCCTTACGCCGAGAAAATAATCTCAATAGAGAAGACACAAGTGTCAATTCTATTTCCATTATAAATATCTCTAAGCCCTGTATAAAAGACGATTCACGGTTCTTCCTACAACTCGAAAAAGTCCAATACAGGTCTTTTGTTGTGTGAAAATATAGAAAATATCGATTTGTCGGATTTACCTGTGCAGTATTTCGGCTCGTCGGAATTGTCGCCGCAGTCGTTGTTCCCGTTGCAGTAAAGGTCGAGAGGGAGGCACTTTCCATTTCTGCAGGGGTGCTGGGATATTCTACATGCTCCCGAAAGTCCAACTGCTACCAGAAACACCACCAACATCCCTGTTAAACGACAAAAGAGAAGACGAGATTCAGATATAATTCACATCGTAGGAAGGAGATCCTAATTAACAAAGAGTATCGATTCCGTCTCAATTACCGACCCAAGTACAATTATAGGTACGCGGAGATGAGTGTAACACGCCCCGGTGGGTAAATTGTTCGGTCGACTTGTAAACGGTCAGGGGGGGTTCGTTTGCGGCCGGAGGATCCGGCTTTTCCGTGGAAACCCATTTCCAAACGGACAAATTTATACTGTACAAGTTGGACAGGCCAAATTAATGCTTTTTTCGTCCAATTATTCAAACCCATTTGTCTGCCATTTAATCAAAATAGAAACGTTTACAAATTTATTGTTACAAATGTCTGATTTATCCTAGAAACAAAATAACACAATAAAGAAATATGTAATATTATTTATATAATAAATTGTTTGCGCCAAACGCTACAAATCAAATAAAATCAGGGTTTAAAAAATATTTATATTTATCGACAATAAAAAAAATATTTCATAGCATTAATCAAAAAGTATTACGGGAAAAACTAAATTGTTTTAGTAACAGTGGTAAAATTATTCGCATCCTCATTATTTAATAATGTACAAGGTATCGCATAAACAGGCGTCCATACTTCAGAAGGTTATCCTACATGTCAAAATGGACTAAAAATTCTCCATATTTTAAAGTCTAATTCTCAATTGTAATCGAGATATTTCATTTTTCACGATATTCCACCTCTCACAAGTTTCTTAAGTCCCTCCTCGTTTCTCATAAAATATTAAACCTGCTTCAAACATGATTACGGCAATGGAAAAAGCATTTGAAACCCTAGTAAATTCACTGTTTTTATTATTGTTACTTGTAACAAAGCAAAATACAATAATCACTTACAAGATTGACTTTTAGTTTCCGTATTTTTTGTCCAACGTTTAAGTAAGAATGCTTCGAAAAATACATCACCCTGTACAGGGCGTCCCATCAACCGATGTCAATAATCCAGGAGGGTATCGAAAATTTCAAATTGTACTAAAAACCTCCTATTGTCCAATGTCTGATTCTCAATTTTAATGGAGATATTTCACTTTTTCAGGCTACTCTGACCTTTCCTAACTATTCCATGAAATTTTCATCTTTAATCTACGTTGATTCCACCAAGTGAAAAAGCTACGAGAATGATTAGTTATTTTAATTTTTTGAAAAACAAAAAGCTTCAAAAACTTAAGTGTTCAAAATGTCCACCATCTTGAAGAATGCTAGCGGTACATTGTTTGTTTTTAGAAACTTTTTGTTTTTTCTTATATATTTCCTTGTTTATCTTTAATTATTTTTGAATAGAAGTTTCAAAATCTTAATGACCATTTTTTAAACAGAAACAATCAAATTTTTAGCAAGTAAACGTTCATTTTTAATTAGTGATAACTGACATTTGAGAAATTAAGTTCATTTCATTCAGTTTAATGCTTATTAATAAGAGCAACTTATCTCTAAGAACCGTATTTGTCAGACAAAACAAGAACATTCGTAACTCCTAACAATTTAACTTCGTGATTTTTTATTTTTTACTTATTATTTATAAAAAAGACGAATGAATTTCATAGATTTTTCAATGTTTTTTCCATTGATGTAATCAAATTTACAGTAGGATTAAGGTTTTATGATATACTTTATGGAATATAGTTCTGAGTTTGAAATAACCTGAAAAAGTGAAATATCTCGAATTGATTGAGGATTAGGCTTTGGACAATAGAGATTTTTTAGTACAATTTGACATTTAGAATAACCATCTGACGTATGGACGTCTGTTTACCGAACACATAAAAAGGCATGAATTGTTTTGTTTAATGTATAAAATGGAGCATCACGGATTTTTCTTAGAATTTTATATTGAGGTTTTATTGTACAACTTGTTGTGCGAATCTTTTCAATTAAAATAATAGGATAAACCAAAGAAACAATACACGACAAACGTCAAATTTTGTGTTTAAAATATGATCCTTTAATAAGACTATAGTCGAGTGAGATTAAAAAATATTGACCAAACTTTAAAAAATTGTTTGGAAAGTTTGGCAGTGTATCTGTGGTGTTTACGGTCTTGTTCCGAGTAAAAGTTGTAAGTGGTAAAGTTTCACTACAAGTCCCACGATCGGTTTAATTAAATAATGACCAGTTCAAATGAAACGTTTGAAACAAAATATAAAAATGCTTTTGCCGATTTTTATTTGTAAATTTAATTCTTTACGAATGGGAAAAAGGTTGTACGATTTTTAATTTTTATATACCATAAAGGATTTTTTAAGCCAATTCTCAGTCCTAGAGCAATCTCACAGATGCAAAAAATGTCAACGAGGCATTCTGTATAAAAAATCGAGCCAAAGTTTTGCATTTAAAAAAAAATTATATACATACAAAAAATGATCAATATTAAATTTATATCTACATAAACATTCTTTATGTATATTTCTATGATAGTTAACTTAGTAGTAAGTAATTTAAAAGTAATGTAAATTTGTTAAACGATAATCAATAATAAGAAAGATGGTTCGATTGAATTTTTGGAAATTACTTACAAAACACGGTGCCCTATTTTCTAAGGATGCTAAACCCGCATGACCGTGGTGTCGAACTGAAGTGTTAGCCCATAGCGCCGTTCGTCATACGATATAATATTATTAAAAAATAAATCTTAATCGTTCCCTTTATTTTATTTTTTATTACTTTTTTATTATCTACACTAAATATTTTTTTATATCTACTATTTTATATCATTAATCTGAAGTATGTAGGAAGTGGAAGCAACAACATTTTTATGTTGATTTAATTAGAAAACGCGAAACTGAAAAAAGTATAAAAAGTTATAGTTATTTATTATGCCACCCTCGACCATCTTGTACTACACATTCACGCTTATAAATACATTCTCACGAAACAGTTAACAAAGCAAACGTCCATCATCAAATTTTGTATAATAAATAATTATTCAGATATCGTGAGATGCGGTCGGATGTGATGTAGGTTTCAGTAAAACATTTTCTTTATCGTGCCAACGTTTCGATCTTTTATTGAGATCATCTTCAGGGCTCAAAGTGTTTGTCTTCTGTGTAATTGTGCCATCCTTGCGTGTCGTCTTGAGAGTCTCTACACATAATAAATAATTAAACAATAAGATTGCCTGCAATACAAGTTCTATATGCACAGAAAAACCCAAGCTTTCTCCAGGAGATAGTTATAATTTAAGTTTTCAACGAGACTAATTTTTTTAAGGGATCTAAATTTTAATTTATTTTATAGAAAAATTATATTTGTTTCATTGGCGTTATTAAAATTTTCTCTTGAATTCTCAATTTCAAGATGTCATTTATGTAAATATAAAGAATAATAGGACCTAGGATTGTACTTTGTGCAACTCCGCAGTTGAAGGATTATAAGGAATCTATTGGGCACACCTATTTTAATTTTCTCGATCCCGTTTGATAAGAATGATTTCAATAGTTCAAATTTTATTTTCCAATAATTCCAATTTCTCCTGACGTTTTAATAAAAATATTATGATACCTAAAGTTTTGGGTGCCATAATATTTTTATTAAAAAAGTCAAATAACATCATATAAGGCTTCTTCTGCCGATCTAACGCGGGGAATCTCGTAGTAGTAAATCGTATTTTTTCTTTATTTATTATGATAATGTAGCTGGAAAGTCAAAAGGTGTGTTTCTTTTACATAAAGAATTTTTATAATACTTATTCTTAAATAATATTACAAGTTCATTGATCGGAATGAGATTTAGGCAAGATTTTCATTTTCTTATGATTACAGATTATTAATCAATTAATTTGAGATATTACTGTTCGTCCTTACTGAGACAAATAATTCGTGGAAAAATTGAAGACCACATCCAAATCATTAGTAATTTTAATATTTATTTTTTTATTATTATTGTAAAGTGTTGATGTTGTTCATTATTGATTTCTTACTTTGAATCTTCTTTGTATATTTGTTGGTGAATTTTTTGTTAATAATAATTTGTTCTAGAAGCTTAATTAAATTTACAGATTTGTTTCTGAAATATTTTTTTATTTAGCATTAATTTGTATTTCATAAATAAGAAATTTATTTATATTAAACTGTTTTGAATAAAAGACTTGACAATGATGAAATAGTGAATTTTTAGTGTAATCGCTCGATTGTAAGCCAATAAAAATCTAAATGCGTTTTAAATTCATGGTAAAATAAAATGTAATTGACCGAGTTCGTATTAAAGTCGTCAACGCTTGTCGAAAGAAGTTCCTGGGTGGTGAGGAAGAGAAAACGATTTCGAATAATTTATTAAACGAAACGAGCCTCCTCGGCCGAGATTGCCGACTTTATTTTAATCCGGGGGGCCGGTAAACTTTAAATTGCCCTCCGCTCTCGGATCCGGAGAAAATATCCGTTTTAGCAGGTAACTCTAGGCTTGATTTATACAGAAATCCGGGCCGATTTGGCGTCTTTGAGAAGTTCGACGGAGAGAGGCGGTGCCAAACAGGCTGGAATTCAAACGCTGATCCGTTACGAAATCAATTCTTTTTATTTTAAAACATCATTATATAGTAATGAAAATAAATATTTAAATTAAAAATAAATGTAAGAAGGTATTCGTTTTTGATGGGTTTACACGTTAGGAGATTTTTTTAAAATAAATCATTCGACAGTTAAAGCTGCAAAGAATCGATGATAAAAAAATGCTTAATGCTTTTTTGAAGAGGAAGATTCATCATGATAAAGCTTATTAGTTCAACTTTTAAAGAAAAGAAAAAGTCGGCATTATTTTTCAAACTTTTTAATTTAGTAGAAGAACCGGTGTTAACGGGGTTCTGGATTATTCCGACCTTGCCCGTGCGCAGATGGGGAAGTTGAAATTATCCAGGGTGTGAGAGGCAGTTTCCTGACCCCCCATAAAATCCAATCCGGCCCCGTCACCCCGTACTTAATTTCTTTCAGTTGAAATAAGATTCTGCCGATGACAGTG